GCAGTATGAACAACAGGACGATCAAATGAATGGTGAAGGAGGAAATGAAGAATCTGGCGGAGGTGATGCTCCTGCTGATAGCGGTAGTGCAGAAGCACCGGGTCGAGATGATGACAGGTAACATTCATAAAATTGTGTGTAATATTCATACTGAAGGTACATATTTGTTACATTCATGTGTTTCAGTACTGATTTCAATTGTTTTGTAAGATATGTCTTTATACATTCGTGTTACAAGGTTATTATTTTCAATATGGCGATTGTGAAGCACCTCGTAGTCATATATGTATCTCTATTCATCCATTGATGTATTGCACTTTACGTCTAGTTATTACTTATGCTGTAATTATTATTGTACTAAGTTTATTATGTATTGAGATGTTAAGCATGAGTGTTGTAATTTAATTACAAGCCTTGTTTCTGATGCTGGGTTCTTGATCTATTGTCCTACTTGTTCAATAAAAATGGCGGCTTGCAAAAGCTTCGCAAGGCGGCAAATAAGTTGTTGAAAGGGTTCGATTACTACAGATGTCATTCTGTGAGTCAGATTTGAAGTGAGAAAACTAGATGTACCATTAATGCTGACAACTAAAGCATTTTTGAAAATTGCAACCACTTCCCCCTCATTTAGAGACTTCATACTGCACACTGAAGTGATAAAATATAATGAGCCTAGTTGCTCCTGGATCTTGGTTTTTATTTTCAGATACACAGGCTTGCCAGTCCAATTTTCCGTGGAAAGTTACTGCGAAATTATTTGTTATGTGTACAAGTGTTCATGTAAATAACTTTGGCTTGCTTTGTAACCCAGTTCAAATACTTCTTTTTCAGCTTATCCTTTAATATAATGGAACTTTGTTTGGGAGTGGTTGCTTTGTGGCCAATTTTAGGCATTGTGTGAAGAAAATTGGTTTTGTCAGATTTTCATTTACAAGGCTTAGGAATTTGTCTGCAAAATTGCAATTTTTCAAATGAACTGTGTGGACTATGGATAAGTTATAATGTCATGCTTGTAAATATCAGGCCTGTACTATCAAAATAGTTACGGTAAGGGACAATCCAGATGGTACTGGAAAAAGGGTATTGCAATTAATTTTAAATTTGGCTTGTAAACATGCCTGTTTTATCTTATTCATAGCCCTGGTTCCTTGTAGCTGTTGTAGTTTCATTGATGTTTCATCTGTTATCCAGTTGTCTGTACTCATTGCTAATGACATCACTTGTTAAATTCTGAAGTTTTTAAAGTATTTGCAAACCCTATTTTGTTTCAGATTATATATATTGTGTTCAGTAAGTCTTCAAAGGTTTTGCCTTTGCTTAAATTGTAAATTTTGAATACTTCATATTCTGCCTACAGAGCTTCATTCATAGCAGTGATTAACCAGATTCCTGAACTTGTGTAATTTGACTTCCCAGCAGAGGAGTAATTGGTTTATATTTGTAAATGTGGGCAATTTTCACTTAGATTTAAGTACTGTATTGTTTTCTTGGGGGTGATTGTTGATGAGTTGCTGTAAACTAACCTGCCTTCCTCTCCTTCAGGTGCCTCACCCTCATAAGGCAAGATGCAAGGTCGCTGACACCGGCCCGCTGACCCATGGTATTTATTCCTGGGTTACTTTCTTGTGGTCACAAAGTAAACTGATCAAGCATTTGGTTACTGGTCAGATTTAGGGCCATTTGCTTTTGTTTGATGGGCCACTAAAGTACTTGACCATAATCATTTCTATGTTTACTTATTTGAGTCATTTTTGTTAAAAGTTGTTCATTGTTAACCTGCTTTAATACCATATTTTGTCACCCAAGCCTTCATTTTAAACTTACAGATTTTTCTCTTGCTCAAGATTTTTCCAGATGCCATTTGAACTTAGTGACAGTTCAGTTCAGTTTGCTGCAGTTGAAAGGGTGTACAGACTAAAGTACGATACAACTTAATGTCAAGCATTCTCACTTTCTGTGCAAAGTATTAACATCAATGCTTGGAATTTCTTGTAGAACTCTAAACTTTGACGTATTTGTTGTCTCTTTACAGGAAATTGTTTGTTGGTGGCCTAAGTTGGGAAACAACAGATAGTAAGTTGAATTTTTATTTCAATTTTTCTTATTTATTCATAAATTAATGTGATCCAGTACATTTCACCACTTTCATATGTAGAGTAGGTTGTGAACCTGTTGATTTTGCTATTTCGATTAGTTTTTTATTTTTAAAATAGTTGGTACAGCCAACTGAATTAATTGTTGAACCTCATATACCCCAGATTCAAATAACAAGCAATGGAAGTCTTGAATCCTATAAATCACTTGTGCGGTAACATTAATTGTAGTTGGCATTTCATGTGTGTAAACATTGCCTGAATCTTTTCTCATTGTAAAATTTGATTGCTTCATGCTACTTTCATAATGATGAGAGAGTGAGAACATGGTGTTATCAGCCCTCAGTACATGTTAGAAACTTACTGTCCGCAGGAAAGCAATGTTAAATAATAATATTGTAATAGATCTAAGTTGTGCAAAATGGCAGTTATTACGTTCTGCTCATTGACATATTTATTGCGTTTGCTGTTGGGACTGCCATATAACCAGTTACACCCATTGTTGGTTGAGTCATTTTAAGGAATGTTACAGAGGGGCCATGCTCTTGATCTTTCTGATTCCCCCCCCACACACACACACACCTGTGATGATAACTATGTCAGTTCTGCTTCTGAATAATTTGATGACAGTAGACTCTGAAAATTCTGTTTTTGTACTAAAGTTAAATTTGGTGTGCTTCAACAAATAGCTGAAAACAATTTTTTTCTTCAGAGGAACTCCGAGAACATTTCCACACATATGGCGAGATTGAGAGTATAAATGTGAAGACTGATCCCAACACAGGCAGATCCAGGGGATTTGCATTCATTGTCTTCTCACAAGCAGATTCTATCGATAAGGTATTTCCATTTCTTGAACTTGACTAACAGTTGGATGTGCTAAACAGTGTAGTGGGATAATCTTTGAAATATGATTATTCTGACATTGATGGCAAGACTGGAAAGATGTGCCTTTTCTGAAATATGTGCATGCCCTTTTCAAATTCTGAATTAATAATAAAATATTGTTATATATCTGTGATGACTTCAGTTTTCTGCTGTACAAGTCAAGTAATTTAAGTAAATGGCATGCCTTTTCTCATTGCAAGTGGCTGTAATATCAATTTAACTTAATAAGTATGTTCTTCCTCTGTGTAAAAAGTTAGGGTAGTCTGAAATGGCATAATATCCATGCCACATTTCACCCAAATCTGTTCAGCAGTTGTCAAGTTGAATCATGTGGACATCTTTGCAAAGAATGCATAACAAGATTGGGAAGTTGTATTCTGTTCCAGAATACAGTTTTCATGTGTTGTTTGTGCCTGTGCATTCTAAATTGCTGTTAGGTGATATTAAAAATTATACCATATACATCGTTAACGTCCACATAAGTTTCGCTATAGTTCAGAAGTGGTATGAAGATTGAACTATGAGTTTACGGTATTTGATGGTTGAATCTGGGATTGCCATTTGTAGGTACATTTTCTGCCTGAGTGTTATTTGTGTTTGTTTTCATTTTGTAGGTTTTATCTGCTGGAGATCACATCATTAATAACAAAAAGGTGGATCCAAAGAAAGCGAAGGCACGGCATGGCAAGATATTTGTTGGCGGGTTGGTACCTGAGCTATCAGATGATGACATCAAGAGTTTCTTTGCGCAATATGGCACGGTATGCTTTGAGTAGAATGTGTTAATGTGCAGCTGTAGTTAACTTGGTAGTTTTAAAGTGGGTTCTTATTTAGTGGACATTGTTCTGACGTGTTTACATTGTTTAAGTTGAATTTTGGCCTGTAGTTGGGAGTCTTAATTTCTCAAAGAACTTTCTACGCCGTGTCATAGTAATGTTCACATAATGATGACCGCTGTGGTTTCACGATCTGGGGTGTTGGCCTTGTTTGCTTGGACACCCAGACCATGAGTTTGAATCCCACTTAAGTCGTCTTTTAGGCATATCTCTCGTCCTTGACTCCAAGGGCTGTAGAGCCACAGATGATAGTTTACATAATGATTTTGATAATTGGAAGTCGTTGAGGGGCAGAGGTTGTGGACTACCCAGGCCTCGGGGCACATCTTTATTTATGCTTGGGCTGTGCTGAAATGCCATGGCAGTATATTATAGAATTAGACAAAAATGAGTTTAGCGTATGGCTTCATATTCATTGGTATATTATAAAGAGTTAATTTCCAAGAGTTTTATATATATATATATATATATATATATAGTGTATTACTGGTTACATGAAATGTCAGATGTGACTTGATATAAACTATATCCTCATTTGCTTTTAACATGTTTCACGATAGTTGGCCTCGTAATGCAAACTTTGTATTGCTATTGTACAGCCTAGATGATTGTGACTAGCAACCTCAACAGAAGTTGGGATCTTCTATCATACTTTTATTGTAACTCCATACACTGGAACGTGGTAGAACTGGTAAGATTATATACCATGTATCTGGAATCTTCTTTCCTTTACAGATTGTCGAGGTTGAAATGCCATTTGACAAGACAAAGAACCAGAGGAAAGGTTTCTGCTTCATTACATTTGAATCTGAACAAGTTGTTCAGGAGTTGCTCAAATCGCCAAAACAGTCAATCAATGGCAAGGAGGTAACGTTCGTTTTTATTGGATAATGTCTCTTAGTATTCTAAGTTTTCACAGCAGTTTGTATGAAGATAACTATTGTCTGGGCTGTAGCACCATGTAGTTGGGTAGAAGTTTACCAATGTAGAGGTCCTTGCTGACTCCATCATCAGGGTGATGAGTGACAGGTAGTAAAGACGTCTGAATCATCTGTAAAATTCTACCAGCCTACACTGCTATAACCAAGAACACAACTGTCGTAATTCATCCTTAGCATTGGCGTTGCGTGTTAAGTTATTACTGATTTAGGTACTTGTGGGTTATCGGGACACTCAACAAAGACGAGGCCCGACATCATCTGGATTCATATTTAGCTGAGTTCATGTGGCCGTGTACAAATGATGACAACGATATTTTTAAATCTATAAGCGAATTTCGGCCTCTGGAGACTGGTAGTAACAACAGTTAACATCTCATTCATATCCAAATAAAATATAATAATGTGTCATTAATTGAAATAAAATATAATAACTTTCAAGTATGTCATTTATCCACACACATTAACCTAACTTATTTTTAAAGCAATGTGGCCCGATGACCCACAAGTACCCTGATTTAAATGAATTCGCAGAAATGAAATTAATGAAGAGATTTGGTTCATTGATCATTCTTTATTTGTGATGTCAGCCAGTTTGCTATTTGAATTTAATTGGGACCCCACTGAAGTCTGTTCTTGATGGATTAAGACACAAAATTGTCTTGTAGACCTAAAAGGGACTTCACACTTACAGCAGAAACTGTTGAATGATTGTACAGTTGGCTATCACTTCGGAGTCCATAATTATGTAGTTAATTTACCCCCACATTTGCTTTGTGTCGGGAGATGTGAATGGCTCATGCCTGTTATGATTCTTCAGGTGTGAGAAAGAATTTGAGTTTTGAGTGTTCTACATCGTGCTCCCAAGGCGTTTTCTACGTTTAGTGGCCAACCCTATCTCCACCTTCTCACAGAATCAGAATTTATTTGTACAGTCTTCCATGTATGACATTTCCTACTCTGGCCGCCTCCCTTATTTTTAAAATATGGCCATACCGTCCCTTTGTTTGCCTTGCAAGATTGTCTCTAATTTTGTTGTTTGTATTGTCTCTTGGCTTTACCCTGTACTGAAAAAGGTCGCAATATTTGCATTATCAAGTAGGGGAGAGTTGTCACAGCAAAGCATGGTGATTGGCACATCCATACTAGGTGAGTTGGTATGATAAGATTCTTGTTGTGGCTATCTGGACAAGCTGATGGTGGGTTATTAGCCTGCTTTGAAGAATAAATGGAAAATGTAATTTAAGTTGAACCCTCTTCAGGAAATTGACTTTTGTGATAGAATTGGTTTTGTTTGGTATGAGTGACCTATATGAAGCTCGGATCACTTTTAAATGGCTAAATGTGCATAAGAATTGGTACATCGCAGATGATATATATAAACATCTTGGCTTGCTTCAGGTTTTGTGTGAATATTTAATATAATGGAAAGGTTAATTCCTTCTGTAGTTTTTTAGGGTGATCCTCTTGCTTGCTATAATAGATATGTATGTGTAATACATTTTCCAAAGAATGTGTGAAAAGTTTGAAGTGACACATTTTGCAAATGTGCTTCAAATTGCAGTATACGTTTTTTATCATGTGAAACAATTGTAATGGAGGTAAGAAATTAATAATTTTTCCTGAGTTTTAATTTCTGTGTGGCAATTATTTTCTGTTACAGCTGTATTGTTTGAATTGTTTCATTTCAGAAACCTGGAATCTCATTAAAATGTTTGTCAGTTGGAACGCTATATATTTTCAGCTTCATGTTTAATGTGGGATTTCGTCCTTATTTTCTTATTTTCGTCCTATCAGGTCGATGTTAAGAAAGCTACCCCAAAACCTGATGGGATTGGTGGAATGAGAGGAGGCCGCGGTGGGAGAGGTGGTCGCGGCAGAGGGAGAGGAGGTAGGGACACACGGGTGAAAGGTAAGGGGGAACAAGCTGGTGTACTTTGGAAAACAAAATGTTACTTGATTGTGCACAAGTTCTGGTGTATTTAAATTTGTACATACTTCTTTGTGAGTATTGAAATGTAATAAAATCCTTTTTATGTAATCGCAATGATGACTGCTTAGGACACCATTGAGTGATGTGATATATCTAAAGCATCTGAGCGATAACTGTACTAATTGTTTGGTATGCATGTTCAGACTACATTTTCTTTTTTAAGTCCATCAGTAATAAAACTAGTGCATTTGTTGTTCCCTCATTACCACATCCTTTTTATATGATTTGTGTCCATTTTATATGGTTTTGTTATTCAATACATATTTTTTATTTGGGGTTGTAATGGAGTTTCTTTTCCCGCCCATTTACTAGGTTACGGAGGCCAAGGGTGGGGTAACCAGGGCGGATATGGTGGTTACGGCTATGACCAGGGAGGCTATGGAGGAGGTACGCAATGTCTGCGGTTGTTGTTGCTAGTGTGTTAGGCTTTAAAGTTACATAAATATGGTGCATCTCCTGGAGTTTTCTTGTTCTGCAGTGCTTTGATATTCTGACCAGTCAAGTGTGTAAAATTATTTTTTACTGGAAATGTAGTATCTCGAAAGAAATCTTGGACAAAAAATTTGATTGCATGTTGTGTATTAAGGTATACTGTATGGAGCTGGGGATTTACAAAGGGCTGTATTTGTGCATTAGAATTGGATTCTGGGACAGTCTTGTAATGATATTGGCGTGTTTAAATTACTTTTATATATATTTAGGTTTTCTGTATTGGAAAGGATTAAAATTTAGTATAGTTCAAAAGTATGAACGTTTTGACTGCAAAGAACTTGAAAATTGGAGATTGAAGTATATAGTGCACTTCAGATTAGATTTGATCATACTGGTTACTATCAAAAATGTTATACCTATTTATATTTGACATAGAATTGCATTTTATGTAAAAGTTGGCCTCTCTTTGCTTGAAAGTAACCTAGAGTTTTCAGTTCTAGAATTTGTTGAAATACACGAATTAACGGGAAGCACAGTATTTGGTGTATGCTTATGGAGGTGAACTAAATTGACCCTTCGTGCAATGTAATAGGCTATGCTCATTATGTGAAAAGTTCTTTTAAGGTTTTTTTTTGTTCTGTAGTCACCAGCTATTTTCCTTTTTCTATTGATAATATGTATTGGTCTCTAGGTTATGGAGGTTACGATTACTACGGCAGTGGGTATGGAAATTATGGCGGTTATGGTGGATATGATTACACTGGATATGGTGGATATGGAAACTATGGTAAATATACTTATTGAATTTTAGAATAGTTGGCTCCTGTTTATCGTGTACACTTTTGTTGCTAAAAGTGGAGGAAACATTTGACATTAAGTTAATATTGTGAAGTAAATTAGAGAATCTGATCTGTAGTTTGGGAGGTTCGTTTGTATATTTGTAATGTACAAATTTTCTTGGGGGTAGACTTGTGGAGGTGTCTGTATTAGCTGTGGGTAGACAGTTTTTCCTGCTTGGGCCTGATTATTTGGCTGTTATCCCAAGTGCTGTAGAGGTGTGCACTTAGCACTGCCTGGTTGGTGCTTGAACGAGCCGAGTAGCGTGATAGCTGTTTGAAAAACCTATTCTGTTTGCCTATTGGCAGGGTGATAAGTGCCCTGATATGGAGACTCTAAGTGCCTCTGAAATGTTGGTAATCCAATGACAACAGTCCAGAGGGCAGAGCCATCTAGAAGGTTGTGTTTTTGAAAAAGGTAGAAAACGTGTAAAGGTGTGTATTTCAGAACTCGCAAGTAATCTGTACCCACCAGTGCACTGAGACTTGGTCATGTGTAATCTCTATTAAAGGACTGGTGACATGAAAAGTATTGGCTGCTTGGTTTGGCATTGACATTCTCAGGCTGTTCATTATGTTGTAATTACTGCATAGTATATAATTTTCTACATTTGTGTTTACAGTTTGAATTTTTTCTGTCAGTTCATGGATCCATAAATGTTTGCATTTGTGTAATCATCTTAGGTAAAATTATGTGTTCATAGTGAACTGTCTGTATTACAAATTTCTAACATATTTTGTTAATAGGAATTTTTTCAAATTGCAAGTTACATACTGTATGAACAGCTTGAAAATGGATGTCTTAAGTACTGCTTGATGGTTAATGTCTTACATTTGTTGAGGTGTTTTTTTCAATTTGAATTGGTGACTGGGTACTCATAGAATGGATTTTATTTCATTTGTTAGTATTTTGTAGGTGGTTGTATGTAACTGTAGTCGGTTCATTCACAGACCATAAGAGCTGGATCATAGCATATAAACTTCCCTGTATTTAATAAATGGTGTGCATTGGTCTCATCATCCCATTATGAAATGGGTTGCTTGTCTCTGCATGTTATACATTCTCATCTTGAATCTGCCTAATATACATTATTTTCTGTGCTTCACTTGGTTTCTGTTTCAACACATTTGTGACAAAGTTCCTTACAGAGATTTGGCATTAGGCAATAAGGAATTTTTGACACATACAAGCCTTGGGCCTTACATAAATCTCATTTGTGTGACAGCAAACTTGTTGTGGGTTTCATCTTGCAGGTTTTCTGCATTAGTATGGTGATTTGTGAAGTTTGCAGTTTGGAAGAATGCAAAAATGCTTTTGTAGTTGGTCAGAAAATTGAGAGCCTTGTCATTTGGACAAACTACATCAGTGTTGCCACTTGTGCTTTTTTAATGTCTGACCTTTGACATGCTTTTACCTGCTCATGTGAATGTACATTAAGTAGCAGATTAATGCCAGTTGTCCTGTAGTCATTGGCACGTACTTTTTTGCATTAGGTTGTCCTCCCTTTTCAGCTTTAGTGAATGTATGAACACGCAGTTCTCTCGGTAAAGTTGTAATGAAAAGTGACTTGATTGTGGAATAATGGCTAATTTAAATGTTGCATTTTGAAAAACACAGGCCTTTCATTTTAATCAGTTGTCTGTGTTGCTGTGTCCTTAATATTAATTGAATGAAAATACCATACTTGTACATTTGGAAGTTTCATTTGATGAAATTCTTGCATGCACTTGTCTTTCACATATTTTAATTTCTCATATTCTTGGTTTCCCACTTTAGGCCCTTTGTTTCTGATAGGTCTTGCGTGTTATTTGTCCTACATAGTTACTGGCCTTTGAAAAATTCTTTATTTTCTTGATGCCACACAAGGATATGAGATACAGCTGGTAACAGTCATGTTAAAATAGTTTAATCCATCGCCATACTGCAAGTCCGTGTTACCACACGTTTTCATGGTTTGTTGCAACCTTGGGTAACATACAGTTACAGTGAACACTTCGAAGGCACATGTTTTATATTGGCCCTACTAATGTGTACCATACCCAGTACACATGATTGCTACAAATACATGAAGTTGACAAAGTTTTACATCTTCTGGGTTGTTGCGCTGTGTAGTCTGGTCGATGTTAACCAACGTTTCAGAGGTCATATATGAATATTCATCGCCCTGATGATGGAGGCAGTATGACCTCTGAAACGTTGGTTAACATCGACCAGACTACACAGCGCAACAACCCAGAAGACTGAAATCTTCATACTCACCGCTGTGAAAACCTCATATCTTACACATGAAGTTGACATTTGTCTATACTGGTGTAGCCATAGAATAACCATCCAAACCATCAATGATCTATCTTCTAATTCAGATCCATCACCAGGGACTTCAAAATTGTTAACTAGTGAGCAGCAGGTTTCTGTCTCCGAGACTTTTAAATTTTTAATATATTTAATGTCTATCTTGGGTCAGCCTGCTGCAGATTGAACCCAGGATCAGCTGTGAATATGAAAATATTTCTCATCTTGTAGTTCTGCTCATCATAATTCCTCTTTATGGAACAAATTTATAGGCAAGGAGTTGGTTGTTGGCAACTATGTAACAACTGCTCCAGATAGAGGCTAGTACAACTAGAATTGTGCATGATTACAATTATTTTTCAGTTCGTCTTTGAAATTCAGTTAATAGTGGATTTGAAGTATATCAGAAATTTTAGCAAATTTTTTCAGAAACTTGCGGTTTGTGATTGGTCAACTTAATGAAGTGAAGATAAAGTAAATCTACCTTGTCTTATCAGGAAGGTATGGTGGTTTTATGGTGTCATGGGTAAGCTGAACACATTGCATATAATGCTGGGTTTTACAGACCACTGATTTGTGCTGTTACTGTTTGTTTCCCCCCTCCAGACTACGGAGGCTACGGCAATAATTATGAAGGCGGATACAGTGGTGGAAGAGGTGGTGGCCGTGGGAAAGGTACAAACATGATGACTTGTATTTTGTTCACACTTGTTAATATTTTGTGCTACTTTGCTGTAGACCTACCTGTTGCTTACAGTTGAATGGTCTTGCTTTATTTCTCATGTATCCTTTCCAACTTCAGTTTTGAGATAATATATACTAACTCCTGCTTGATAAGCAATTCTACATAATTTACCAAAATCGTCTTTTGTTAGTTGATATGTAGATCTGTTTGGTTTATTAGCAGCATCTCAAGTTGAGATGTAGCTTTTCTCTGGGAATCCAGCATGAGCTCCGCTGTAGTTCTGTGGAAATAACGGTTTTTGTGATGTCTGTGGCTTACTTCCCATAACAAATGAAGCTTAGTATAAATTCCTAAAACCAGGAACAGGGGTATGCAAACTATTTTCCAGGTGGTTGGAGTCTTGAGACCTAACACAATCTAGAGGGTTGATGAGTGACACTACACTTTTACTTTAATGATAGTTTCATTTTTATCATATTACTTTGATAGTGGGTTCAGATAGTGCTTTAAAATTGAGCTTTCCTATTAGTGGAGTTTTCAGATAGGGAAATAGTGCGCCTTGCTCTGTCAAACACACTGTTGGCTACCGCTCTTAGTTTCCAAATTGTTACCATTCAACTATACACACAGTATTCAAAATATCTTTGTGTTTGGTCAATATTAACTTCAGAAATTCTTTTTTCTGGTCAGTTTTGATCTTTAATTTGATGTCATGACAGTTTTTAACTTACCCCACTTAGCACCTGTTCAGTTTGTATGTTTTGGTCCATTTCTTTTCGAAGTGTTAAATCGTACTCTTTTATATGCTGTTCGAGTAACTTTGCCAAAATAGTGTTGTAGTTTTCTTTAGTTGCAGCCTGCTGAATTTGTCTGCACATTGTAGAAGTTTAGTTTGGCATTTTCTGAATTGTGTACTTAGTTTTATCACAAAGGTCACAAGGGTGGGTCAAGCTAACAGTTGGGGTTTGAATGTTGCAGGCAGTACAGGTGGAGGTTACAGTGGTAAGCAGAGGGGTGGGAGCCGCCAGACACAGAGACACCAGCCATATTAACTCAAATTCTGTGTCTGTGTCACTCTTGTGTTTTGTCTTGGTAAGTAAGAAAGCTGAAACATTGTGCATGTCTTACTTTTTAATGCAGTTTCAAAATTTAAATGTGTTTTTATTTTTTTTATTTTTTGCAACCCCTTCCCAGTATTTTGAATTTATACTAAGTTACTCTTGTGTTTTTGTCCTGTGTGTATTATTTGACAGATTGGTGTGTGTTCGGGTAGTTCATTTCAACATAGTTCATGGATTTGCTAGATTGTTTATTCCAAGTGGGAGTAGCATGAGATCGGTGGGATGTGTTGTTTATAGTTCTTGTTTCTTTGTTTTCAGCAGCAGATTAGTCCACATGGTGTCTTTCTAATCATCAACCATGTCATCGTACATTGCATCATTCCATTTATTCACATAGAAGTTATCACCAAGTCCTACAGTTGCAAAATAAACTGTCAGTAGTGTTCTGTGGCTGTATTAATGAAGTATGGAGTCAGTGTGAAGTTTGACAAGACCGGTCTTTTTTTTATATATACACATATATACTGAAAGTTGTGTTACATGTGTTTAAGTTGCTACAGTTCACAGGATAATTGAGGAAGACCTTGAAGTTCACAAGGTTCAAATGACTGTTGCTCGCTCGTCTTCATTTTGGCAGTTCCCATGCAGTGAAGTTACGTGGTTTCAAGATCAACTTTGTTTTGGGTGTAACATCAGTAACGCTTGCACTTGTATTGCCACAATTCGTATCTATTTGAAAAATAAACATTGCAGTTTTAACAAATTGTGAGTCATTTTGTTATGAATGCCATGTTAAATTGTGATTTGACAATACAATTTCAACATTGTGCTGATGATTTTCAATAAATAGTTTTGTGTAAATTTTTGTTTTTCCCACATCATCTGGGAATGTAACTGCTTCTGTATAATGTTAATAATATGTAGGTGGTATATGAACAGGTCAGATTAGACTTTTAATAGTTTATACAATCAGAAGAAAATGCAATCTTCCTACACTCTTAAATACAAGTACATAGTATTAATTTCATAATCTTTGATGTGAAATACAGAAAGATAAAAGTAAAATTTTGTATAAATTTCTAAATAATTGAACAGGTGAGTCAAGTCTGCAGGTAGAAACTGTTTTAGTGAACACTGCTGTTGACAGTCCACAATCTGATACAGAATAATGTAGTGTTAGGTCCATAGAGAAATATCTCTTTCAAAGTATTGGCAAATATTCAGCAGATCTGTTCTATAGAATTTTGTAGAAGTTGTGACCTTGAACATGGAAGTACTGCAACATCTAACACTTGTATTATTGGGCTGGCAGTTAGAAACTTTCGTGTTAATGGATTAGTAGTATGCAAGTCTGATGCATAGGCAGTCTGACCTCATGTAATAACTTCAATATGCCACAAGCTTATAAACTTCCCATCCAACTCATCATGTGCTATATAGTTGGATGTGCCAAGTTGTACCAACATCACATGAAACTGAAGTAGTGGCATATTGTTTAATATCCACTGCTAGCATTTTTGCTTTGAGAATATTAGTTAATCTTGGTCACTAAAGATGCTGCAAATTTCTTGATCAATTTGCAGGGGAAAATACCAGCTAATGGTATGGAACATTTGGTGAGAAGTGTACATTTTTCACTGCCTTTCATGGAACCTTGAAGTCTGTTTCCATGTTTACAAAAGCCTGTCCTGAGCCAGACCCACCAACCCTATTCCTTGGAAATGCTACCTTGAAGTTCAGGTTGTAATTCATGCATTTTTTATGTGGCAAGGTCTACATTCTTCAAACATTTTGGTATGGCATAATTTGCCATCACTGGGGGTGAAAGCTTCTAATGAACTTCTGCTATAGGACATGAGCAATGAAGGGAACTACTTTATAAATGAAAGAAGAATGCAAAGTGTTAAAAATATTTGTGCTGTGTTAAAGTCACAGTTTCTGCAATTTGTATCTTGCATAAATTATTGAAATGTTTGATTTCTTACATGTTTCAAGATACGAAAATAAAGTAAAAAGCAATAAAGATAAATGGTTGAAGTTTCTTTGTCTTTTAAATGAGTTTGTTCTACAGAAATATTGAGTGATGCTGGATACTGAACACTGTTCACCTATTTGCAAGTGTTTCTGTTGCAAAAATGTTGGCTTTATTTCAGAGGAGAAAGTGTGAGAAGTATTTCATTTTACTTATGTTACCCCTGATCTGATAACTTTTCTATTGATGAGAGGGAGGTTTTGAAGTTGGCCAGTTTATTTTGCATAAAACATGTATTTTGATTTGTTGCCATACTCATCCCTCTGTTGGAAGCCTTAAATCCATAAGTGTGTAATTTAAGGCTATTCTGGTAGTTCAGTCTGATTATGCTATTCTGTTGATTGGTGTTTGCAGGATGCATTTGTTCAAACCACTCAACATTCCCCAGTGTTAGGGTTTATACATTTTATTTGCTGCACCCTGCTTTTAATTCTGAGTTTTGAGTAGACTGTTCTGTTTATCAAATCTGAATAATGGGTGGGGACCAGAAAAAAATATTCACTGGCAGTGAATTGTGACCACATTAAAGTGCCGGAGAGTGCAAAAAGGGGATGCAGTGTGGAAGTCTTGATTTGTGCATTTCTGAAGCTGAAATTTTTTGTGCAACTTCACTGTGTTTACAAACTAGTCACCAGTTTTCAGCTTTTTTCCAAGGGCAAAACGTTTTGATTTTCAACGTGCCGCTTCACGAAAAGTGAAGCACTATACCAGTTATCTAGTAGGTACATAGCATAATGAAATAAAACCGGCCTCTTCATAGGAATCAAACATTGGCACCAATAGCATGTCTGAATTGAACAGTTCCTTTTTAACATAGCTGTAGCTGTGCTATCAGGAACGCAAGGAATATTTCTGAGGGTTCGTTGTAAATTACAGTCCAAGAGTATTTAATTGCTGGCTCATATATGAAGCTCCTTACTTAAGGTGATGGTTATATTTGGTAAGTAATGTACTGCTTGACCAAGGCTATTGCGCATCTTGTGCGACAGAGATAGGTTACGTATGGAATAATGATTAGTTGCGGAAAACGCGATCCACCATAAATGTGATTTTAAGATATCCGAGTTTGAACCCAGTCTTCGTGGTGGGCAACCAGCGACTAAGCCGCCCGATTCATAGCATGATCTATAAAATTTAATGTCCGTAACTTTCATTAGTTACGAGAATATTTTTCTGCGGCTAATGATGTTCAACTGTTTAAGAAATTGGCTTTCTGGACATCCGGGGGTCACATAACTTATGTCAGGGTCTTTTTAATCTCAAACCGGGATCTCGTATTTTACGATACGAGACTTGTTCTTGCGCATCTATTGTGCGCAAGTTTGTTTTGACACCAGAGTGCGTGTAGTTCTCAATAAAATCTTGTATATTATTATTAATATATTTGTGATTTAATTATTTATATAAAACTGAATATTTTTCGTTGTATTTAAGACTTTTGTTTCCTTCCAGAAAACGCAACAAGTTTCGTTGGTAAGTATGATAAGAAAGGGTTTAAAAAATATAGTGCTACACCCGTGAGTGAAGTTCTTGTGGGGTGGGTTTGTTGCTATGTTGTGAGAGAATATAATTTTATGTGTTAAGATAGTGTTAGAGTAGCGCTTTAGACACATTATTCAAGTATTTGAATTCTTCCGGGTATTGAGATCCTGTATTGTATTATATCCGCAAGAAGTCAGGTAAGTTCTACACAATATTTGCCCGCCAACTGCCGTCCATGCTTTTATAGTCTAATCATGTGTTCCATTGTTCATATTTAGTTGAATTAAACAGTTCTAGTAATAGGGTTAGTCCAGCCTAGACGGGAATAGTAAATGTCTTTACAACCAGAACATAACTCGTATTGATGGCCAGCCTAATGTCTGTCTAATTCTATGTATATCTGTGGGTTAACCTCCAATAAATTGTCTTTTGTAAGCAGGGAGTGTAAGTTGCTGATAATTGTACAGATAACTGTAGACTAAACCAAGTGATATGCATATTTTCCTAATATGGCCTTAATTTATACTGTGTTTCTATTTCAGGTGTTAATTTGCAGCGTATACACCATCAATCAGTCTTATATTCTTTAAACAGCCTTCTTTTAACTTTTTTTATCTCTTTCATTGTCGGAAGCACAAGTAAGTAATTAGGAAATGGTCATGGAAGCCCCCCCAAGTCCCCAATGTGTAGGTCGGGAGTTTGTGAGACAGTACTACACTTTACTGAATCAAGCACCAGCACATCTTCACAGGTATGAAAAATATGTTTCATATAATTCCATGTATTAGATTGTAACTAATCAGTTGTTTTGGACAACTTGGAAAGAAATCAGGAAGTTCATTGTGGTAAAGCTATAATATAGCTGAAGTTATTTTTGGTTGGGATATAAGTAAAACATAACATGTATTTTACTCTATATTTTCAGAATGATTTTTATTGTGTATGCAGTTCCATACACTTACTAAATAAATTACAATTTAGAAGTTTTATATATATATATATATACACACACACATTGGGGTTTGCCTTAGGCATATTGTTGCCAGCTGGTGACCTGCAATTTACAACAGTAATTTGTAATGACATTGTTTGAATTTTTTAATTCTTGTGGCCAATAATATATGAGGGCCTATGCTTCATTTACGAGCAAAAAGGATTGGCGTTACATTACCAAGTGTTTGATTTCATGACCTGATAAAGTAGAAATTGTTTGAGTATATCCGTAGAGATGTACATTCAGATTACAGAACTTAATGTCCTGGTTGTGTCCTATATTTTATTTTGTCATGTACATGTTAGCTGGTTCAGCATTCATCTTGTAGTGGTTATTTGTTTGGGTGGAACAGCTTATATCAGTATGTTGTATATGTTGATATTAATGTTTATTAGTGGGTTTTGTTGTAGAAATGGAGTTTGTATGTTCTTTAACATATGTTATTTGTATTTTTTTAACTCTTTCATTGCGCATTCAGAATCTGCAAATAAGAGTTTTACGAGTGTCATCTGCAGTCTGTCTACATTGAAAGAAGCCATGGCTCTTACTTAACAACATGGTACAGCTTGATACTACTTGAAAGACTAAGCTGTATCTTGCAGGAAGATTATATTTAATATAACCAAATGCTTCTACTTCTTGTTAATAAATACCCTGCCTTTCATGGAAAAAGATTGCTGCATAATTGCAAGATCCACAGGGCAGAGCCGGCGTAGCTCAGTCAGTATAGTGACTAGCTATGGGCTGGACGACCGGGGTTCGATCCCCGACGGGGGCAGAGGATTTTCCTCTAGCCTCTGCGTCCAGATCAGCTCTGGGGCCCACCCAGCCTCCTCTACAATGGGTACCAGGGTCCTTTCCCGGGGATAAAGCCGCCCGGGGCGTGATGCTGACCACTCACCCCCATCTAGTGCCGAGGTGAAGGAAGAGAGGAGCTATACCTCCACTCACCCCAAACGCCTACATGGCGCATAGCGGGACAAACTTTACTTTTATTTTAGTATTATAAGTATATAGTCATGCAGAATTCATCTTAAGAACTTAATTATTTACATTTCAGTTTGAAAATGTTCTTCCTTGAAAATGCTGTAGTTCACAGTAGTCACCATATTTAGAGAGCAGTCTTATAGTTCATGTTTCACTTACACCATTTGATTTCATTTGTTGGAAGCATATACTTCTTTGCATAAATACTGACAAAGAATTCCCAACAAAACTATGTGTGTTTGATGAGGGTAGCTTAACTTAAAAATAAATGTGTGTTTGGCACAGAGAATATAAAAACATAAGAAAGGTTTGTTTGGGTTTAGTACTAAAGGGTAAAGATTCACCATTCTTCAGTCAGACTCCAGTGTGTCATCTATATTCTGACAGTTTATAAACTAAACAAGCAAACAAGATGGGCATCATCTAGTAATTTGGAGTGTCGTTTTATGATTTAATTTCAGAAAAGGAATGTGCCGTTCTCAGTTTATATATTACTCCAGAATTCTCTTAAGCTTATCAGTCGTATTTTCCGGCATCAAGTTTCATTTTTGCTATTTCAGTTCACATATATACCTTCAAGTTTTCATTAGTAAAATGTGACATAGTTATTCATTAAGTTCTACAGTTACTAACAGCGATAGTCACTGCCAAATATTGTCATTAACAATATATGTTTCCAGATATCTGGCAACAGTTTTTATCATACAAAATGGCAGTGTACAAAAAAATTTATGTGGGCCACTCATTGAGAATCCCTGGTATAAGGCATGGGTCATGATTTCACAAGCACTCAGTTTGTGGATTTGAATCTCACTCAAGGCATAGATTTATGTGCCGTTCTCAAAAGGCCTTTTAAATGAATGAGACCCCTTCCCCAAGTCAAGGAGTTATAATAAACATCTAATAGAAATGTTAAAATTTTTTTTTGGACTTAATCTATCATCTTTATATAAAATTACAATATTTTGGAAGTTGGATATTACTTTGGTCATCAGTTGAAAGGGAGGGCAGAAAAACGTATCTGTTGGCCTCTTTGGTTGTACTAGTCTTAAACTTGGTTGATGGACAAAGTCAGAACAATTTAACATAACCTAACATAATCAGAAACATACAGAGTTCTGCTATTCTAACGAAGGTTTTGGGAATCTAGAAATTCTTGCGCAGATGTCACCTAGGAGCTGTAAGCACCCTTAAGAAGAAGGAAGAGAATAAATTGATTAAGAATGTCTACAGAAATAGCAAAGTTGGCTGAGACATTGTTAAATACTGTTTAAGATGCTTGCTGTGGCTGTAATTGCACTATGCGGGTCAGTATGTTGTTTTGTTTCACTGTGATGTCCGTAGCTATTCTTCAAGGCAACTAAGAGTGATTCTGATGGTTTTTCTCATTTTCACCGTGTATATGTTGGAATAATGCCTTAAACTAAACCATGTTTTGTGTTTTTGTGACTGTATTATTCATATTAAATCCACACATATTTTGTTCTGTGATAAGCGATAATCACAGTTGAACGAAAAATCTTTGATTTGTCGATTAATATTACCTCCCACTGTACTTTTTATTCCTCTACAGATGTTGAGCTGTAAATTAGTAACTGGCATGAGTATAAGTGCTTTTGTTGATGTGACATGAATTTATGAATGCTGGTGTGCAGGAAGAAGATAATAGTGAAATGCAGTTTGCTGATTGTATTTATTTGACACTGTTAATGATCCATCACATTAACTTTGTTTTCACATGTGTCAGATGCCAAGGTCTGCTGATAATGGTGAACCACCTCACCACTGTGCAAATAAGTTGTATTAAGTTGTTTGTCGACATGTAAGGGATGTTATGTCTTGAGTGTCATTGTGCCTTATGCTGGCGTCGCCCTCAGTGGACTAGTGGTTACCATGCTTGCCGCTGGACCCAAGGTTCTTGGGTTAAAACCCAGCTGAGGTTGATGGATTTTTAACGGTGACAAAAATTCGTAGCACAATTTCCTTCGGAGGGAAGTAAAGCTGGTGGTCCCATGTCATAGATTTACGGCATGTAAAAGAACCGTACAAGCATGAACGAGATGTTTCATCAGCATAATTTCATTGACCATTTCTCACCCAAGTCTCCTGATTCATTGCTAGATGGCAGCTGAATCAGGTTTGAGTATAAATTGTGTAGAGTTACTACTCTCACTAGCACGGAACATCCATTGGGCGTTGCCGGACACAGAAATAAATAAATGAATAACCTTATACTGGTGTTAAGCAATTACAACATTGTGAGGGGGGGGTCTGTTTCTGTTGTCGAGAAGTGTCTGGCAAGTACAAATCATTTGTGACTGGTGCACTGAGCAAGTATTTCTTGGCCCCTGAATATTGGCATTTATGTAGAATGTGATGTTTGTCTGCTGAATCATTGAGGAAAAAGTGAAATATTCTGTCTTTCATTTCATTCACAGCCACACAGATCATAGATCATTTTGCCCAGAGAAATCAGACACATCTTTTGTAGTTACATCTTCTACACATGATGATGAAAGGGACAAATTTCCATAATTACCGTGGCATTTAAACTGTTCCCATGTTTACATCTTATGTGTGGTTTAGTTGGCTGTTTGTCACAGTAGCAGACTGCTAAACCATGAATCCCAAGAATTAAGTCCAACCAGCAGGCCCATAGTATAAAAATTGATATCCCCTATGGATTTTTGTTGGAGTGTCTGAGATAGTTGGAAGAACACCGTTACAGAGAAGTGTGCTATAAAATTACTGGTGTTTAGTAAAAATTGGTTGTCTTAACATGGTTGCAAAGAGGAAAGTGTCTGCCCCTGCTGGAAAATTAATCCTGGTGAAAGAACAAGCTCCTGCCATCTGCTGGCAAGATTCTATATTATTGAGTGGGTACTTGTATTAGGAAAGCATATACTAATAAAAAACAGTGTGCAGTACATTTCACTACTGTTAAGATGTACAGTATTAACATGATTTAAATGTCAAAATTATGGTTTGTTGGTCTCTTGAGGTCCTCTGTTCAAAAATGGTATCTTCATGTTTTCAAGATTAGTAAACATTGACTTCAGTGAAATAGTCTGTAATAACAACATTGGTGTTAAGAATTTTTTGCAGATACTAACTTTATATTTGTTTTTGTTTGTTGATGGCAAATATGTTGTCCATGTTTCAGATTTTACAACAATAATTCATCATTTGTTCATGGTGGTCTGGACGCCCCAAACCGTGAGACGAAGCCTGTCGTCGGTCAGAAACAAATTCATCAGAAGATTCAACAGCTGAATTTTCGAGATTGCCACGCCAAGATCAGCCAAGTTGATTCACAGGCCACCTTGGGTGATGGGGTTGTAGTGCAGGTAAAGTTCGTACGATTTGCGCGTGTAATTTGGAGGAAGGTGATTAATGTTAATTTTGTTCTAATGCATTTGTTTATATTAGGTTACAGGAGAATTATCAAATAGTGGACAACCCATGCGTCGGTTTACCCAAACATTTGTACTGGCTGCTCAGTCTCCGAAGAAATACTACGTTCATAATGACATCTTTCGTTACCAGGTACAGTTTCATATACTTTGTCATATTTTATATTTGACCCCAGTCGTCCAGTCCGTAGCCAGTCACTATACTGACTGAGGTGCGCCGGCTCATATTCCTACACCTATGGCATTATAATTGTATTTCACAGTTGTGTTATTTGACATGATAAATAAGTGCTTAATGCATTGTAATTCAAAGATGATGTCACTATTTGTTGAATGGTATTTTAACTGTGGGGGTCTGCAGTGGCCACGCGGTCTGAGGCGTGGGCCTTGTGCCGCTTCGTCACTGGGACCGTGGGTTCGAATCCCACTCAAGCCATTGATGTCTGTCCGCGTTTTTCTGTGTTGTGCTGCCCTGTATACAGGTAGAGGCCTTGCGACGGGCCGATCCCTCGTCCAAGGAGTCTTACCGATTGTCTGTAGATCGAACCAATGAAAAGTTGGGACCCGCAGTGCTCAGGCACTTGAAGAACGGGTCGTTCCCAGTATCCCAGTATTTTAAATGTGATTTTGTTCTTGATCTTGGTAGTTTTGTTGTCAGTCCTACATTCTTGATGGTGTGCCTATTGTTTGCTGACTGCATGTTGCACTCTTTTGTTCAGGACATGATTTTCAGTGATGAAGAAGTTGAACAAGATTCTGGACGCTCTGAAGCCGAAGAAGATGCAGAACCAGAGCATTCCCCAACTGCTGATGCCATTCCTCCTGTAAGTTTGAAATATGGATTTCTCTTAGCATACAATTAATTTTGTAATTGGTATACTGCAGCTACCGTTTCTGAGTTTAGTGTACGTATACATATCTAGCAGAGATGGTCTTTGAAATTTTGTGTTATCACATCTGCTGACAGTTTATCAGAATTTAGTATTGCCGTATGATTTCTTTACTGAGCAAGAGGTAAACTGTGCAAATAATGTGGCATTTTGCAGACTGGTGTTTATACCTCTAAACCACACCGGAATATAGTTATAGTCTTTTCAGTTGCCATGTTTTACTTGAGTAGCGAAATTGCCACATGATTCCACTGAGTTTACATCCCATGTGTGAGTGGGCTTTTGATGTTTCACAGGGCATAGTTTAAGAAGCACCGCCATAAAATAATCTTACTGTTGTCATGGATTGGGTATTGTACAGTCTATACTATTCTCATAATCGCTTTTCCAATGTATCCATTGTTATCCTCTTACTTCCTTTTCAACAAGGTTTGTAATTCTTCTTCAACTGTCCTGATGCATTGTAACTACGTGCAGCTGAGGATTTTAATATTTTGACTTTTCCTGATTCTGTTCTTTTGTCTATACATTTGTTACGCAATCATATTATTTGGCTTTACTGATCTCTTGTAAGGTAAAGCTGTCTGGCTACACACCATGGAAGCACTTGGGAGGAGAGAGTGTAACTCCTACTCATTCTTGGCCTTGGTACTAGATGGGGATGAGTGGTCAGCATCATACTTCGGCTGAACTTTACCCCCAGGGGTTGGACCCTTGGTACCAGTTGGATAGGAGGCTGGGTTGACCTCGTAGCTGGTTTAGATGCAGAGGCTAGAAGAACGATCATTTTCCCCTGCTGATTATTGAATCCCAGTAGTCCAGTTTGTAGTCTGATGCTATACTGACTGAGCTACCCTGGCTTTTCTGTTTTCTTGTTCACCCTCCAGATGTAGTCTGTATTTTATAAACTTTGCTGGCTCTTCAAGTATATTTTGTTTTTTATGATTGTTGTAATGTTTAGTATGCATTACGAGTCCAATTATGTTATTGTCTAAACACACTGAAATCAACAGTGTTGTAATTATAAATGACTTGTTCAAGAGCCAACAGCTGGCCCCGCAGCAAACAATGGCGTACTACAATAATGCCAACACGCCCATTAACAACACTGCTGCGGTAGCAAGTGGCATGGTGACTCAACAACCCTCACAACCACAGCCTCAACAACAACAGCAACCACCTCAGCTGACTGCTGCTGCTCTAACCCAACATCAGCAGATGGCACCACCACCTTCAGTGGTACCTGCTCCACTTGTGGCAACTGCCATTGTCAATGGTACAGTTCATCCTGAAGAAGTAATTTCGGCTCCAATTCCTATTGCTGTGATGCCATCGCCTGTGACTGTTGCTCCCAGCATTCCACAGCAGGTAGCGATTATTCCAACGCAGACTCCTATACCCAACCTGCAGCCTATTCCTCAGGCACAGATACCGATGCAGCAAGCGACTGCACCGGGTATTGTCACTTCGCCAGGACTTCCCGCTGTGATCAAGTCTGAAGAAGAGGAAGTGGAGCAGGATAATGTTGCTGAGGATGACAATGAAGAGGAACAAGAGGGAAATGATGATCATGATGTTGCAGGTGAAGAAGAGGAGAAAACAGCCCAACAAGAAATTGAGGATACCCATCATCATAGTGAATCAGGTGAGATATTACGTGCTAATAGAATGCACTTAAGTATATAGACCAGGGGTCATCAATCTTTTTATACCTACCGCCCACTTTTGTATCTTTGTTGATGGTAATATTTCCTTACCGCCCACTGGTGCTGCACATACTGCCCACCACCATGAAAGAGGTACAGCTCGAAGACTGAGTGATGGCCGGTGGTAAGACCCACCCTCTTTATGCACACTAAACTCGTGCCTTTGGCTACGGAGCTCATTCGTTGCTTCCTCGTCCACGAGTATACTTCGAGAAGTGTCCGGTGAATTATTATCTATATTCAAAGTTTAGAGATGGAATTCAAAAGTAAATTGCAAAAGCATATTTTAAAAATTTAAACTTGCGAAGTTGTTAGCAATGTATTCGATATATGGAGGAAGAACAAAATTTGTAACGGACAAAAAACCCCACCGCCCACCATGAAAGCTAGTGGGCAGTAGGGACCAGGTTGACGACCCCTGATATAGACAGAGAAATAAACACAGGCTACTGGCACTTCCACCATAGTTGGTTATCCTGTAAAAGTCTCTTCCATTCTTATTTAAATTGTGTTTTATTACATAATTTATTTTCTGTAACAATTTCATTGGTGTTGTATTAATTGAATTTGAGGTATACACTTTCCCATCATGATAAAATGTCCCATAATCTTTTCCTGTGTCAAAGTAGCCACAAAAATAGTTTATTGAAATAGGGCGTGGTCATCTACTTAATTTTCTTTTATGTTACTAATTAGTTGCCCTCATTATTAGTGCTATATAAGCTTTTCTGTTATGATATTGATATGGTGATAGTCTTCCCTGTAACATAGATGTTGCAGCCTGTAATGTTTTCACACAAAACTTCACACGCATTTTAGTTTTGAACGAGCCCAAAACTTACGCAACGTTGGTGAAGTCTGGTGGAACTGGAGTGGGGATAGGATCACTAAGCTCTACATTGTCAACAAGCCCAAATGCTCCTGCAAAACCTACAACGTCACCGGTGAGTCATTATGTACCTTATTAATGTCTGAAGTTATTTTAATGTTAGTAGCTTCTGTGTTGTTGCTGTGCATCCAAGTGAAAATTACCTGAAATAAGACATTAGCAAAATATTTGACCAATCTGATTCATTTAATGTATCGTGGAGTGATTGCCACATACAAATTACATTACAGGGGAATGTGAAGCTCAACGAAGACAAGTGGTGCAGAGAGAGCGACATTTATGTGCAAATAGCATCTGATTCATGCATGTAGTAAATGAATTCTTTACATATCAATTCTTTGAAGCCATTTGGCTCATGAGGGCATGTAACTAGATGTGCAGAAGTGCCCAAAAGTAGGCCGCCATTGTTTGTGTTGGTACCAATGATAAAATATTTGTGGATCCTTACTCTCACATCCCCTATACACATCTATGATATTGTGATTTGATACAAAAGAAACTTTATGAGCCGGGATAGCTCAGTCAGTATAGTGACTAGCTATGGGCTGGACGGCTGGGGTTCGATCTCCGACGGGGGTAGAGGACTTTTCCTCCAGCCTCTGCGTCCAGACCGGCTCTGGGGCCCACCCAGCCTCTACAATGGGTACCGGGGTCCTCTCCCGGGGGTAAAGCCGGCCGGGGCATGATGCCGACCACTCCCCCCATCTAGTGCCTAGGTCAAGAAAGCGAAGAGCTATACCTCCACTCACACCAAGCGCCTTTACGGCACATAGTGGAACAAACTTTACTTTACTTTACTTTACAAAAGAAACTTTGCCTTTATTTTTAAGAAATTTTGGAAGTATGATGCATCTTTCAGCCTCCACTTGGGCCCCGTACCAGCATCGATGCAAGGGACTCTATGCATGTATCTGGAGGGCCAGGGTCTATGGGATCAGGCCAACGAGGCTCCAGGGGCGGAACTAGAGGACCTAGCATCCGAGGTATGGTCAGGAATGAGCGTGGTGGATCTGGAAGGGGAAGTTTCAATGATGATAATGGTGAGTTTATCTTCAGATTATGGTTTTAAACTGCTATAACTGTAACTGACTGGTCTGTTCTTTAAATCTCATTGTAAATTTTAGTTACACATTTCCCATTTTATGAATATAAATTGACGGGAGGGTTGCTTTGTCTTGTGAAAGAATGGATTCCGTTCTCAACAGGAAGTATTGGTGGAGATGGCGACCGACGACGCATGGGACCCAACATGATGCAACAGTACCCAGACAGCCAGCAGTTGTTCATGGGAAACCTCCCACTTCATGCTACCGAAGATGATTTGAAGGTAAATTTTTGCTCATACCTGAGCAAGGTGACTTCTTTCTATTGCCAGGATTTCTCGGTACACATAAAACACATTAATTGTGGCCTTAACGAAGCACGTTACTGAATGAATAAATGACATACGCAGTTGAGTTTCTGTCCAAACCTGTACAGACTTTACATAGTATAAGTACAAACATACACGTCATCCAGTATGTTTCACTCCAAATGTGTTAATAGAACATATTAAACTGTGGTCCATAGTAACTTGTTCTCTACACCAAGTGGGTTATTCGTGCCTGCCTTATTTTGTTCGCATAACTCTAATTGGATATGATTCATGCCACTTCCTCATATGTGAAAGTGTTATGAGATACTCATTTTTAATTGTCGATTATTTTTTCTTCAGTTGATCGTGTATTCTTTGTTAATATTACTAAAAAAACACGTTCATTGAATTGTGGATTCTGAGAAACAGGTATTTTTGTGTTGTAGGACTTGTTTGGCAAGTTTGGTCACATCATTGATCTCCGTATTCACAGCAAATCGAATAATAAAGGTGTACCTGGAAACAGAGTTCCAAACTATGGTTTCATTACATTTGAAGATGCAAACACTGTTCAACAGGTTCTTAATAGCAGGGTAAGTTATTATATGGTAAATTCTGTTAGATTGGCAACAAAATTAAGTCCCCGTACACAAATGATCCAGACGTGTGGGTGCAGTGAAAGGCCATAATGTTGTCCAGAAGGCAGACTGAAACTTTTTTATGCAGTTTTAGCCATTCAGCACTCATCTAAGGTTACGAAGTGTCCCACATAATCTGTTGTCATGTTACTTGAACTTTCTGAATTTTGATATACCAGGCTGGTAATTTAAATTCTCTTTATACGTTATTGGTATGATTCAGTATCAGAAGCATTGCATGAGTGTTTAATTTTACTGTGTTCTGCTGCATTTGGCATATGGGATTATAAGCTGCAAGAGGAGAAATGTAGTGTAACAGATCTTTGTAGTACGTTGCTTAAGAATAGATTAAACATTCTGCTATTGTAAGATTTTTTAAAATTTAATTACACTTTGTGTTGCATATAAATGTTATATAAGAAAGTACTGGTGAAGAGAGTATTTTGTTGTGCTGTGAATAAATTTGTAAGAAGTTGAAACTTCTGTAGGTGAACACAGTGGGTGCCAGTCATGGCGTGGGGAGTAACAGTTGTGCAAAATAAAGAAAAGCCGATTTTCCTGTACTCTAAATTACAAGAAGTATGTTTGTTGCGTGTCGTCTTCGGTGGACTAGTGGTTAGCGTGCTCGCCACTGGACCCAAGGTTTGCGGTTTCAAACCCGGCCAAGGTTGATGGATTTTTGAGGGTGATAAAAATCTGTAGCACGACTTCCTTCAGAGGGGAAGTAAAGCTGGCGGTCCCATGTAGATTTACGGCAAGTAAAAGAACGTTATGAGCATGAATGAGATGTTTCGTAAGCAAAATTCAGCTGCCATTTCTCACCCATGTCTCTTCTGATTCTCTACTTGATGGCTCTAGCAGACAAAATCAGGATTGAGTAGAAATTGTGCAGAGGCCGTGGGCTGGTCACACACTACTCACAAATGCGCACTTCAAAGACTAAGAAACCTCCGAAAGGAGGCGGCCAAGACCCACACTGGGTTGTAGAGCCACAGGAAGATGTGTGTTGTGTGACACGATATGCATGTTTAAGATACCGATGTAGTAACTCATTCTTAGCAAATTAATAACAAATTGTTGGTATATTTCAGCCATTCTACTTTCCACAAGAAAATGGGCAGAAGCTGAATGTGGAGGAGAAGAAGGCCCGCGGCCGTCAGTCAATGGATGGTGGCCGTATGGGTTCCGGGGGCGATGCTGTGATGGGGCGTCCTTCTCCCAGTGGCCTGGGTGGGCCTCGTGCAGTTCCAGGAATGATGAGGGGAGGGACAGGTATGGGCCACCACCGTGGAGGAGGCCGTGGAAGTTTTACCCGAGAAGGGCGTGGAGGAGGAATGAACCGGGGTGCCTATGCACGGCGTTAACAAACCCCCAGACCCCGCATTGTTTTGATAACTTTAGTCCCTACTGAGAAATGTGTGTGTTTACAAAAATGAAGCGCGCAATTCCTCAGTTTAAACACGAAATAATATACATGTTCATTATTACCAATGCAGGGAGTTGTCTTATGAACATTCTTATTAAAATCATTCATTAATTGAATAATGATTATTTGCAAGTAAAAAGATGTTTGAAAATGAAATTGCGCGCATTTGCCATTATCACAATCTTCATAATCCAGTATAATGCAACACAAGACTTGAAGAGAAACGGGTTTCCTTTATACATCTATAATCTCTTCCCCTTTAAAATTAAGTTTGGGATGCCAAGAAATTGTGGGAATGAGGTTTTCACTACTGTTATCTGTTTGAACACTGTTCCGTTGCTTGAGTGTTTGAAATCCCTTTCCACCATTCTAAATGTGGTTCCAGTCATGGGAGATTTGGAATTAGTCTTAAATTTAAAGGGGAACAGAATAATCACAAACTGGGAGGAAAGCCTTGTCCGTGATTGTAGGAGGTGGTTGACGTGGAGAGGGAAATAATGCTAGCTTGCTAGCTGGACAGCAGATTTCAAATCACACAGTGCATGAGAATGTTTGAATGTTGGTGCTGTCAATATTTTTTCTTCCTTTCTTTTCATTATTATTATTATTATATAGGCATGAAAAGAATGTGGGGGAGGAGATGTTTAGTTTTTCCTGTGTCTCATGATTAACAAGTGTAATGATTGACTTCTTAAACTGGATTTCAAGCAGTGAACATTTACATGTGACGGGGGTAACAGAAATCTCTCTCAACGCCTAACCAAATCTTTAAAAGTAGCATCACTTGATGTTCAGATATCTTAACTTATTATTACTTTATCTGCAGGGTTTTAGGTGGCTTTTTGTTTTCTTTGTTGTTGGAGTTGTGGAGAGATTTTTTGTGAGTGACGTGTCATGATTCGTGGACAAGAATTTGTGTGAAGTTGGAACTAAAATGACTTTTTAAAGATAAAAGAAAAAAATGTGTTTTGTGCAAGGAGTATTTGGACGGTATAAGCAATTCAGAGTGGAGTTTTTTTTCTTGCGAACCGAAACCAGTTCAGTGCTGCAGTTGTTAACTTGGTGAGTCTTGTAGTGTACATTTTTGTTACTGTTGTTTTCCTCCAACTTGAGAATTGGTTGTTTTTTGTGTGTTATTCTTTTTAAATCATCTACATAACATCCCCCTCTGGCCATCATGCAATCAGTAGTATTCCCTGTGATAACTTAAAATAATAATAATTATAATAATAAAATGCTTCCTTTTTTAAGTTAACTTGATGTATGTTCATTTTTTTTAGAAGTTGAATGTTACTATTTGAATATGTATCCATTTTTTCTGGAATTGCTCTTTAAGTGCCAGAACGTCATTCCTTTAAGAGATGAAGCTGACAGAAAGAACTGTTGTACAATTTTCCACTAGTCAATACATAAAAATAACTCGACATTCGTACAGTATTAAGAAATATTGTTTCATTGCAAGGGAAATTTAATTACACATTATAATGGGAAAGAAAGTGGTTGCATAACAAACAAGCCATGAGATGATTATTATGTTGTGTGAATTATGAAACCTTTTCAAATTCCTAGTATTCCTTGCACATTCCCTAAACTTGGCTGGAGTCGTACAAGGAGCATTGATACTCCATGCTTCTTGTACAATCCAAATACATATTCCTGACGTTGCTTTTTACCATTTATCATTAATAATGCACCAGCTTAGAATCATGACATATTCTCCCAGTCTTGTATGATTTGAGGTTTTCACAGCAATGAGTATGAAGAGTTCTGTCTTCTGGGTTGTTGCGCTGTGTAGTATGGTCGATGTAAACCAACGTTTCAGAGGTCATACTGCCTCCGTCATCAGGATGACGGAGACAGCATGGACCTCTGAAACGTTGGTAAACATCTACCATACTACACAACGCAACAACCCAGAAGACAGAAATCTTCTCCCAGTCTTCCTTTAAATCCTATACTAATATAGGAGATTTCAGTAAACATGATAAACGATGCCAAAGAAATTCATGTCGTAAGATGCGAGGCTTTCCAGTAACTACTGACTGATTTTGTCTATATGATATTGGAATTTCATACATTAATACTAAATCTAGAAATTTCGTAACTGGGTGTGGCCTAGAACTTAGTTGCCCATCATATTAAATACCTGAATTTGTGAGGTTAGAAGGAAGTGTGCTGGGTGCAAGTAACAAAATTCCCGTGTTCCTTATCATTACCTTGAGATTACTTTGAAGTGGGGTCGAAGCTTAATGTCGAAACTGCCCCTTGATCATATTAAGTTTCGTAATATATACTACATTAATTTCAAGAGTACATTTTTCAAATGTATTCATCTGGGGAGAAGTGATGATGTGATATTTTTTATGAATTTCTTTGTGCACTTTAACTGCTGATCAGAAGAAAAGAAATGTCTGTATGCTGTTTGGGTAAGTAAGAGTGTAATTTGAAATGACATGATGCATACAGGAAATTGGTAATTGGAAACTGAATCTCATGTAGGTAGTCAGGGTTTTACTTGGAAAGCTAAACTATGTTATGTGTTTACGGGAATACATAGTAGAGCGTTGATTATCCAAGGTAATTGGAAAGCATTTTAATCTATAAACGAGTGTATCGTGGCAGGATGCATTTAACACATTGTACCGTAAACCAGCCTTTAATAAAATGTGTCCTCTCAAAAAGCATTTAGTGAATTGTATTGGAAGCGATTACAAACTAACTTCTTTGTTAACCTTCAGATGGATGAAATTCTGTGATATCTTCACTGCCTAACCAATGTTTGGATGATAAATGTTCTGCTGTATTCAAAGTTTTTGTTTTATGTGTTTAAGACTTACTCATGTTTCACACAGAAAAAAGTAAATGATGGTGCCCAAAATTTTAAATTCAATTATAAACCTGTTTCTTGATGTCTGTACTGATATGAAAGTAAATTCCAACATGTGCAGATTTTGTTAACATGGTTTTGTTTTTATAGGAAGGTAATGTATATATGTACTTCGATAGAGTTAAGTAGATGTCAGCATTCATAATCTTGGACGAAGACTTCAGGAAAGCTTTGTCATCTTTTAACATCATCAGGAAGATGCTATGTTCTATTTTCAACCAAATTTAGAAGCATCAGACATAAATTCTTTGGTAAAAGTTCATAATTGTTATGTTAATTGTAGGAAGTGTAATAGCAGAGCATGAGAGTGTATGGAACTTTGATTCCAAAGTCCAAGAAGGTTAGTTAAATTAAACAACTGCTCTGTGATTAAATCAACCTTAAGATAACTTTTTATTAATTGTAATGTGTTATCAATGCCCAACATCGTTTTGAACAATCGATATGAAATTATTGCTCTGAGCATTAGAAATTTCAAAATGGTTGAAAGTGGTGTAACTTGGGAAGCTTTTCCAGACCCATATTCAAATTAATTTTATTCGCATAGAATTTACCTGTGCCTTGTGCAAGACCATTCATTTCTGAGTATTGTACAGATATAACAAAGTTCAGTTTTTCATTTGACCCGTGTTATTCAAAGAATGTTCCGATCTTTAGTTTACGTGTAACGGATGGACATAGAAGCTATGTTGTCCTTGTTAACATAAATTTCATGTTAAAAGGTCCCTCATCATCTTTGTATGGCATTCTTGGGTTGCAGATGGACATGGCCTCTGGATTTGGATGGTAAGTGCAAATATATTGAAGAGGTAGTTACATGCAGCTGACAAGGGTTGGTTAAGTGGAAGGCTATGTGGTGGGAAAAGTAAGGTGAGGTTATGTGCGTGGAGTAATCACATACACATGAATCAACTTGAGAATGGATTAATATACGAGATACGAAAAATTTACAATTTTTGTTTATATCACAGTTTCTATGACAACTTTACATAAGAGCATAAATGTAATACGTATAATATATTCATTTTTAGCTTATTCAGATACACATGACAGTTCAATTTTTTATCCAACATTTGTCAACACCTTTTCTCACCATGGTAGGGCTAAGAACTGTGTAGTGAAAAGCTAGCATGATATAAAATATTCCATAGGCAATCTGTGGCTCCTGCGAACACTAATGAACTTTCGATTCTGTAAATGAATATTTTCAATCAAATAACGCACCCATATGATTAAATATTTTCAATCATACGGGTGCGTCATTTTCTCAATGATTCTGCACCATGGAGTTTGTTAATAGAAGCAGAAATTTGCCTTCAGCTACTAAACCATTCTCTTAGAAACGCCCAGAAGACCATATCAAAGTCCAGAAACTGTAGAAGTGAGAGTATCATATAATGAAAAATCGCTGATATTGAAATAAGCAGGCTTTTGTTTCAAGCGTAATCCTTGCTTCTCACAGCATGATGTTTATTCCAAAGTGCACGTCATACGTGATATACTTCACTCAGCACAATCAACACGCAAGCACTAGGCACTGTCATATATGCAAACACTTGACAACCCCACCAGATATTTATGTCTGAACGGCTTTGTGTTTAACTCGGATTTGCGTTCAGTAGACACCGTGAAAGCCGCGTTCAGAGCCTCCGTGGCCAAAGCGTTTGCCCCTATCAGGTACTAAGGCTGAGCTTTAACTTGAAGCCCCCAATACGCCTTCTTTCATTGGAGCTGAAAACGCGTTGTTGAATAACCTAAGAATCAGTCAATATTCTTGAAATCACTTTTTAACATTTTGGGTTGTTAAAATTCGATAACCGGGGTGCTTAAGAGAATATTTGGGCCCAAGGATGAAGTTATATGAGACTGGCGAAAACTACATTATGAAGAGCTTATTCGTCACCAGATGTTGTTATAGAATGATCAAATCAAAGAGTATGCGATGAGCGGGGCATGCAGCACGAATAGAGGAGGTGAGAAATGTTAACAAGATTATGGTTGGAAAGCCAGAAGATAAGACCACTCGAAAGACCTCGTCACAGATGGGAAAATAATATCCAATGATTTTTAGGGTTGGAGGCTATGGATTGGAATAATCTGGCTCAGGATAGTGATCGCCGTGCTCTTGCAAGAGTGATGAAATTTCGGGTTTCTTGACTACCTGAGCGACTATCAGCTTCTCAAGGACTCTGCTCCAAGAAGTTACATGTTTTGGGGCAGTAGAGAACGTTACCAAATACGAGCACAATTGTTATCATGTATAAGCCACGCATTTCAAATAGCTGAGAATCCATGTTTATGTAACAGAAGTATCCTCGCCCCTCTAACTCTCTGGAGGAATAAGCAAGCACTCCAGCCAGCCCAGTCCGCCTTCGCTTTCCGGCATTCTTCTAGTCTTTTTTAACTACTCACTTGACAGGCCGCTTCACACAGGAAATGCGGTGAGTTGGAGTTTAAAGTAGCTCTGGAGAATCGATTGTTTATCGCTAACTCAATGGAAGTCCTTGAAAATTTAATATTCACTCAGGTTGTAAAGAAATGCCTCGGCTTTTATGGAACCCTAAGTACAGAACCCACCACAAGTTCCTGTAGTGAGTTAAATAAACCGAATTCACACTGTTTCTTTGAGATACATTTTAATATGTCCTCTCCGCGACTCCTACGTCTTTCTACTGGTCTCTTCCCTTCCTTCAGGACTTTTGATTAATACCTGGTTAGCATTTCTTATGTCTCCATGCATGAATGGTAACACATGAACACGCGGGTTAAGTTTTTTTCTCTCTAAGAAGCTGAGCTACGAAATAAACTGCTCAGGGACTCTCCTACATGGAGTTACGAAGCTCAGTTTCTGAACTGAGTGATTTATCTCGCGGCGCTGCTGAATTGCTGGTGTAAACTGAGTCTTGGCGGCGGTTGAATAAGACGAAGTTGGTAGGAGGGAGGACGAGGGAGTACGCTGTAGATACAAGTTGCTTGCTGTCTGTCCCGCCGAGTGAGGTTGTTGGTTTGGGAGTGGTGTCTGTGGAAGGAAGGCCTGTGTGATCTCCATAGCATTTACAGCTCTGGGGCTCGAGGGTCTGCACCAGTTAACTCCTGAAACGGGGTGAGTCCAAATGTAACTGTAATAATCCTTAATTACTTTAATGAACGTAGTTGTAAGTTCTGGAAAAGGAACGGATGTTGAGACCTTTTTCAGGCCACTGTACTCATTCTGTTCGCAAAGGGTTGAGGAGCTGACACCATGGAGTCCTTCAGAAGCTAACAATTGCATTAATGCACTTCATCCAAAGTTTAGAGAATGACAAGAAAGATTATTTAAAAATTAATTATAATTTTCGTATAGAGTGTTAATGACGTTAGAATTGTGGATGCTTGGCATTCCGATACAATGAAAATAAATTTTTATCTTGATACATAAAAATTAATGCATTTCCGTGAAAATAACTAGATTAAAGGGCCAAAGAAAATATCAAATTGTGAGCTGCATCAGACAACAGTCGTGACTAAATTTACCGGCAGACCTGTACCTTTATACAGTATAACGGCAGCAGGATCGAACGATGACCTGCCTTTATCGAGATATTGATCGAAAACATGCACGATTGTCGATTGTTGTACTTTGTCGTGCGGGTGAACTACAACTTCGGGGCTGGAACCCTGTGTAACAGTCAAATTGAACGGCTCAGCAAATTTGAAGTAAGTACGAAATGAATAAATATTTACATCCACAAATTTATATTCAGACTGGAATCTGTTTTTTAACGTCATGTCCTGTGCCACCCGGTACAGTCAGACAAGTAATAGACAGGTCGATTGAGAATAAGCGATTTGATTAGAATATTTGGACCAAAGTGGAATCAAGTAACGTAGGATGTAGTAATTTACAAAAGAAGAAATGGCTTCAGTATTTTTACGGAAAACGGGTAGGGAACACTTGGTAGACCTAGGGATAGAGGGGAGAATAGGATCTGAGGGTGTGGACTGGATTCATATGACACAGATTTGGGTCTGATCGGGATGTTGTAAACACGCAATGAAATAACCGTAGAGATTAAGTAAAAAGAGGGGAATATGTTGGCCAGCTGAACGACTGTCAGCTTAAGAAATCTGCTTCTTGGAGTCATGCATGAAACATTCGGTTGGATTATCTGAGGTAAAGCTTATATAGGTACTTGGTTTATACCTAATTCCGACACTGGGACATACATTTATGCTCCTAACGGGATCGATTCTTCGTATATCAGAGCCATTTTCTTCCTTGTTTGCGATGGCGTTCTGCTGTATGGTGAGTGTCAAACGTCGAGGCAGCTGTGATTGGTCCAAGTAAGCCTTATGAGCTAATTTGTGTTCACAGTTGTGTTTGTGTATTGTGTAATAGAGTGCCTGTATCCAACGGAAAGTTGCCTAAAACGGAAAGATGTTTTTTTTTTAAATCTTGAAAGCAGGTTTTACTGTTCTGACTTGCTGATCCATCGCAAAGGTCAGTCACCTTTATCCTGATATAAAGAATGAAAGGAGGCCAGCGATTTCTTTATGCTGTCTGGTGTATAAACACATGTGGAATGTTTCATGTTTTTCGTTATTTTTTTCAAAGCTGTCTACCGAACTGACAGCCGAAAGGGAAATATATAAGCTTACAAACTATACTTAAATTTATCCGATGTAACCAGACTACATTTTGTCACAGCGGTAAGGATGATGTTCTGGGTTTTGGCGCTGTGTAGACTCGTCTGCACATTCCAGCGTTTCGGAGAAATATACTGCCTCCATCTTCATGGCCGAAGACGGGGGCACGTTGCGAGTCTAGAAGGCGCTAAAACCCATGACGTCATCTGGACTTCTGTTCTTTATATGATCTCGACACCAGATGCTATTTTAATGTATATACCGTATTGGGAGCCGGGAAAGTTAAGAGTCGCTATAAAATCTTTATCCATTGGCCAGTTTAAGAAATAGTGGGGCGATACTTGCGATCCGCCATGTGTCGTAATTTCGTGGCACTTAATTTAACACATGACGTGCTGTGACACGGCCAGTGTCACGTAAGTTGTGACGTCTTCGGGTGATTCGCCAGTAAGAAAAAGCCTTTGATGTCTCCATCAGTTGTAACAGGTGATACACAGAATTTGTGAATCGGCCTTAACAGATAATTCTGGAAACGTAAATGCACCAAATATCGAATTGTAATTTCTATGCCGGCTTGTAACCGAATTTCACTGTCCACGACATAATTTTTTTTCCTGTGGGCCCTCGACAAATGCGGCCCGCGGTAATGGAAAGTTTGTCGACCCTCGTTTACGCAGAAGACTGTCTGGAAACATACAGGAATTTCCTATTAGGCATAGACCGTGCAGAGTTAACAAACCAGTCAGTCGTTTTTTATTGCCATAGAACTTAGCGAACTTAAAGTCAGATTATAGCAGCTCTTTTGCAAACTTTAACGAATTCTGCAGACAATGTGCTGCGTCATGAATGTCTCTCTCAGTGAGTCTAGACTGATTGCCCGTGCTGCAGAGACTCTGAATGACTTGCCGTTTGTGCAGGCAGCTACACTACCGACACTGCAGCGAACCCGTGGGGCACATGGCTCTGGTTTGGGCTCCCGAAACCGTCCACACTTACTGAGGAACACGAACAAAAGTCCGTGATTTTTCTAACCGTAACCACCAACCGCTCATGGATGATTGTGGTGGCTTTACCATCAATGGTAACTATATGTACCACCTACTCTGACGACAAATAGCTCTGCGTCGAGTTTTAGGGGTTTCGTACGATTCTTACTGAAAACAGTTTCTTTAATTAAACTGCACACTGACCAATCGATATTTGTAATGTAGAAGTCTTGTGATTTGTTTGAGGTAGAGACTAAATTCCTAGGTGCTATTGAGGCGAGTTTCAGCTTCAAAGAATTAAGTGACTTGAGTTGTCTTCCGCCATTACTCCAACGCTATTTGGGGTCTGTACATATCAGGAGACATGCAAAACCAAGGCCGAACACCTTCGGTTTTTACCAAAGCTGTGGGCTGAACTTAAGTTATCTTGCTTTTGTAAACAAGTTATGAATCTGCCTTCACAACGATGCTACAGCGAATTTCAAAGAGCATACGTGCGAATTAATGGCGTATTTCCGCACTTTCTTGTGAAATTCCTAGCATTACCGGCTTTAGCATGTAGATTCCATTAAACTAAATAAGCTATTGCTCACATGAGCGAAGTAAAATTACGTTTAGAACACTGCACACATTTATTATGCTCAGACGGATCAGTCCTACTAGTTTTCTTAGACGATTAATAAAAATTATGGCCCACCAATTACACATCATTGCAAGTAAATATTAAATGAAAATCTATGGGCTGACATTAGAAGTAGAATTTGCAGTTTTTACATCCAAAGAATAAAACTTGTAAATAAAACGAAAGAACAATTATCGGAATTTAATTATTTAGGATACTTTACCATATCTACTCTTAAATAGGAGGATAATATTAAAAATGAAACATGTTACTCTTACTGAAGCTTTTCTTTATGCATTTGGGCTGTGGTGATTTTCTGAAACATTACATCTCGAAGCTACGCGTTTTAGAAGTTGGTAAAGACACGTTTCTTTCCTTGTCTCAAGTGTTTTATGCCTCAAAGTTGCTTCATTTGAGAGAATTAATACGTTTCATCCATTTCTGAGCCAGCATCAAATATTACGTGTTGTTCCATATCGTAACTCTCCATATAAGGATTCTTCGGTCACATGTTTTTAGCTTGCGTAATGAATTCCCGGAAGTGCGCGTGGGAGTTCAGACGAAGAGGAGTTGAACTAATTTCAACACTAGTTTCTTGCATGTGCAGCATCCTCCCCCCTCTCCTTCGCTCTGTGTACTCGTGGTAGTGATAACAACTGAATTAGCTCATCGACAAATGAATATTACACATTCCAGCAGCAACAGTTAAAACTTGCAAGCGACGTCCTGCAATGTTGCAGGAGTATGAATGCAGAAAAATCAGCGTCCATCTTACGTATCTTCCAGCTTTGGGTCCCTACCACAGTCATACTGTTCGACAGACAATATACAACAGTGAAAAAATACGAAAGTTTGTATCTGGCATTTTTGAAATTACAATTATATAATGTTATTTTCATTTATTCAGTTCATTGTAATATTTAGCTGAACTGAGTAGACCTTTTCGAAAATGTTTAAACTACAAATCATTAATAAAGTGTCTGAAATTGCTTGTCTTTCGAAATATGTACAGATGTACAGTTTGATGTCAGAAGAAGCAGCTAACATGATTTATAACTCAAATTACGTTAAGACTACATTAAAATATTTATAAAGTTCGTGTTGTAACTTAGAAACTCAGAAGTTGCTGCCAACAAGAACATTTTGTCCCAGAATTATGAGATTTGAGGTTTTCACGTACAGTACGCGCAAAATAAATTGGAGCTTGAGCTACGTCACAGTAAGAGCCGAAGGAAAGGGCAGGGGAGAGTCTGGGCATGTACAGTGAAGCTAGAAACATTTCCCCCCTTTTAATGTCGACATTCTTTGGCATTTTGATGCACTGACTTTTACACTACACTGTATTTTGTGAACTAATGGCCCCCTTTCTCCTTGACTTCCGATGTGATAACCCGAGGCTGTCGAAAGGAAGTTGAAGTGATATGGAGTGTGTCACCCCTAGACGCATCACACACCCTTATCTCTTCCGGTCATCGCACTAACGAGAATGAATGGGAGAAGCCTTTAATTTAGATTGGACCTAACCTGAAGTTATGGCATATAATTTGGATTTATAGTTTCTCTGAAAGCTAAAATTTTATGTTTTGTCTGAAACTTGGTCTCTCACGTTAAGGGAAGAGATTCCGAATGTGTTTGAGAACACAATTTTTAAGTGAGAATGATTAAGTGACAGGAGGGTGGGAAAACATACGCACTGATGAGCCCCACAATTTGTTGTACTTACTCAATATTATTAAAAAGAACCGATCAAGGAGGGTGAGATGGGCTGGGCGCAAGAGGGCATAAGAAATACGTACACAATTTTGGTTGGAAAATCTGTTGGTAAGAAACCACTCGGTCCATCACGAGCCGTTCTGTTACAAACGACAAATTTTGATTTGTTTTTAATTCACTTCAAAACAGATATTAAATTCATAATACAGATTTTTTCACTTCGGAGGGTCGCATATGTCCAATAGATTGAAAACTCTTTGTAGTTACGAAATCGGGCGTTGGATGGGGAGTCTTGTGTGTAATGTTGGCCTCCCTGAAGTAACTGTTGCCTTCGTGTTAAAAGATCACTCGCCCAACTCCGCAGCTGTGAAACAAAATGCTCGTGTTTCTGTCTCACTTACGGCCAAGATAAACTACCTTCTGTCAGCTTCCTTGGATGGCTTGAATCCGAGTGACGACAACAGATCTGCTGAATCCGTTTAAAATATCTGATAGATTAAGACTGCCTCCGTGAAAATGAAAGTACAATTTTGTACAGCCCTAATTGTAATGGCGTCGTCGTGACACCAGCTACAAAGGCCAAAGGAGTTCACATATGCTTGGCCATATGGCATGGATACCAACCGTACCGCATTGCATTAATTCCGGAACAGGTTGTTAAAATTTAATTTTTATTGTAGTTTACAACACTGCTCTCTGCGTGTTGCGTCAGTTGTGAAGAACATGTTTCACTGATGCATTAAGTGCAGGAATTTATACGACGTAAAAACAGCTGTTTCATTGTAAACGACTCATATACTTCATGAGATCTGAGGTTCTCAAGACGGTGAAGATATAGATGATATTCTGTTGTCTCCATCTTCAAGACCTGAAGATGGAGGCAGTATGTTCCTACTAAACGTTGGTATCTACCTATGAGAACACATGATGTAACAACATGGAAGTCAGTATTGACTCATTTACTCCATTTTAACATTGTTTTGTTTAGCTGTCCGGGGTTATATATACAGTAACAACGCTAATCTTTTACGGTGACTAATTATTGTTCCTGACTCTAGAATGTGCCATGCGGAGAAAGCAGGGTTCTCCTTTGCAGGTAATGAACTTTTGCGTTCCATAAAAGTCAGGGGATTTGTTGGCTGACCCGTGGTTCTGTTCTGCGGATTTCTGTTTGTAGCCATCTTGCAGCGCAGTGATATGTTATAAACAGAGTCACTGACCAGGAAGAAGTCCCAGATTTCCCGTACAAAGATCTGCTGTATTCACTGTCTGGTTAACAGCCCGAAGCACCGTACGTTGTTCGGGTACCACACGAAACTTTGTTTCAAAACACCATAAAGTAGAGCCCAGGGTATTTAGAATCCATGTTCTACTCCTCTGTCACATTCGTTAACAAATATTTGGAAAAACGCTGTGTAACTGAGAATAGCATTGCGTGAGTAAATTTATTTCTTTTAGTTTCTTTGATATACCATATTGTATTTTGAACTATTCATACGAATTACTTCATATTTCTTATCGCAGGTTCTCAGAATATTGTGAGAAGTGTGTAAAACTGGATTCTCGTAAAGTCCTGTCAATCGGTGCATCGATATATGTTGTGGATGACGTACATGTGGCCGCCATTCGATTCTGGATAATTTTCAAACACATTTCTCAGGAAAAGAACGAAGGAATGCTCGTTGCAGCTGAATCGGCTGTAATCATAATCAGATTGTAATTTTTAATCGTTGCTGGTGTTTTAATTTCGTCTCTGAGTTAGTGGATCTAGGAGCGTAGAACGTACACGTTTAAAAATGACGAACATTTCCTCACTCTTGTATTAGAACTTCGGCTTAAAGAATGTCTGGAGGAAATAATTAGCATGCAATTTTTTTTAATTTTAATGGAAACTTGTTTTTTAGGTTCGAATTCATAACGAGAATTTTATGCAAAACATTTCTGTGACTGCTGAATCCAGCTATAGGAACCGTGACATTAAGGGTTGTATCGATTGTGTACAGGTCTGATGTTTTATGGTGGCCGCTGACATGGACTGCGCGGATTCGTTGGTTAATCAGTTCTCACAAACATGAGGTGTGCGGGTTAGTCTGCTGATAACTGAATATGTCAGATGTGAAATGTGTAGATATGGGCTTGGCAATACAATTCTTTATTGCCTGTAATACTCCGTATATTGGTTAATATTTATCAACAGTTCAATAGCGAACTGCCTCATGACTGTATTTTCTTCGACTGTAAAGTAATATGGACGCCTACATTGCTCGAGTAACCGAGGTTAAACAGAGTTGTTGATTCTGCTGGCGAGGACTTTCTTGATGTGGTAGTGGGACGCAAGATGATCAACAGTTCGTATGACATCATGTTTATTACTTCTCACGATGTTCTGCTATGGTTAGATGACGCAATCTGTATAGGTCATATCCTGACTTCGTTGTTCAGGCTCATGAGTTCATCATATGTTGGCTGAAGACTTGCGTGTCATTTTCTTTCCCCCTTTAAGTTCAAAGGACAAATTTGCTTGTCCATTTTGTGATTTCCAGCTTGTAATATATACCCAAGACTGGCTGTGTAGAAGAGAACCACCTTTTCTGTTTGAAATAGCTAATATATTCATTTTCTTAGCCCCATTCTTTTTCTTTGTAGATTTGACGACGCTTTCTGAACTGCATAGACTATGTTGAATGGAAGGTTGACTGGAATTTGCCGACCAACTGAACAGTTTTCGTTGCAGCTCATTCTTAATATCCAATTATGTATCCAGTATCCAAAATTTGATTGCACAAAGATTTTGTGGTTAAGTAACAAAATGCACATAATGTACAACAGTTTATGAATCCATCCTATTCATTATATTTTATTTGAAATGATTTTAAACCCCCCCTCTGTTCTGAGGTAATTGAACCATGACTGTTTAAATGTAATATTAGATAAAAAGAAAATGTGCAACATATTATTCGTATGTGTCCTTTCAGGTACCCAAAATCACTATGAAGCTACAGTGGCTGCTGTTGGTATTTATCCTTTTCATTCTTATGACTGATGTTTATGGAGATAAAGTGGTGAGTCTAATTTTCTCCACTGAAAACAGGTTTGAAATCTATGATTGTTTTGAATAACAGTGAAAATGTTTGTGCTTTTTAAGGCCCTAATTAACCATTTGAATCACCATGTTTCATATATTTTTTATGCATTGTTTATTTTGTGGTCAAAAACAATATGGTGAGTTTGGTGGGACATATAGCGTGAATCAAAGAGATGAGACATTGATATAAAATGTCAATCAGAAAACTTGAAGGGAAGAGACCATTTGGTAGATCTAAGTATAAATGGGAGAATGATATTAAAATGGACTTTGTGAAGAAATATACGATGTGTGGATGAATTGACCCAGTAGTGGTTTCTCATGAACATAATGGCAAAGATGACTGTTTTCTGGGTTGTTGCAACATGTAGTCAAGTAGAAATTGATGGTGTTTGGGAATTATTTTGGATTAGGGGGAGTTACTGGTTTCCTTTACCACTTATCTAAATTTGAGGAGAATATTATGACTTGGAAGGATCAGTTTCATAATTTCAGAAACAAGCAGAATGAATAAACAAAGTAATTAAAAGATAACATTTTATCTGAAACAATTTCTAATTGATTCAGTAATTTCTGAAATGCATTTAAATGAATTTAGACTTTCATATGAATTCAAATTACATTTTATGAATTTTGGACCATAATTCATAAATTTATAGTGACAACTCAAACTACCAAATTTCATTAAAATTCTTTCACCCAGAATAGAATTATAGAATGCAGATGAGCAGATGGATATCACCAGCCTAATTGCTATCAAATATGTTTGATAAACTCTTATATGAAGCTTTCAGAAACGTATATCAGACAAGCAAATAACTGGGCTGATTCTGTGAAAAGAACAGATTATGTATAGAATTGTGTGTTTTATTCATGCATGTACTTAAAAAGTCTATAAATTTAACTTTATTGTCTACAACAGAGGAAACTGAAGAAGTTCCGTCGTCATCGAACCACGACGACCACGACAACAGAATCAGATCCTGTGTCTGATGATTTAACTGAAGGCGGAGATGGTGAGAAAGACTTGTTTTCAATGTTAGAAAATGATGAGGTAGCAGAAGAGGAGAAGAAACAAAAACCAATAGGAGAAGAAGAACAAGAGGCCAGAGATGAAGCTTCCAGAGAAATCATTAGGGACAATGATGTTCCTATACATGGTATGTCTTCTGCATACATTGAGTTGTGCTTGCTAAGATCATTTCAGTTATTTTTGCTGTGCTCGAAGATGTGTATAGCTTCATATTTTGGGTTAGAATTGCTCTGGTTTGGGAGTAAGGGATTTCTCCATTTGCAGTATGTTCCAGTAGCAGTATCTATCGAAACACATGTCATCCCCTCATTATCCGAACTGAATTGTGTCCTTGTAAAATCCCCCATTTCATTTCATGTGCACAGGAATTTTTCTGGCAGTATGTAATGCTGTTCACACTGGCTTATCTGACTTTGATAGCAACTTTATCTGTCTCACTAGATATTATTTGTAATATTTTGGTAATTTTGTAACTGTCTTTTAAGGTTATGTTAGAATGGCCATTATTTCATTCTAGGCTTTTTGTCTTGAAACAAAAGAGGTCTTTCTGAATTGAGGAAATATGGAAATTAAAGTAATTTAAGCTTTGGTACGAAATATTGCCATTCATTACGTTATATTTGCGTGTAGGCATCATTCTTTCCATAATATTCTACTAATAGGTTATACTTATGTAAATGCTCTAGAACACATTGTTTTAAATACAGAGATGAATATTTTTCCTACTTCAGTAACAGCATTTCTTTCTCCAATTATAGTCAGTCTGTAGCCATAGCCATATGGCAAACACATTTAAACCAGTGTTGAGTATGTGGCAGTGTTTTTGTAAACTTAATCTGATGGCTTGTTTGACGTCTTCCAGATCCATGTGCTAAGAAACACTGTGGGGCTGGAAGAGTCTGTGAGCTAACAGAAGAGGGGGAGGCAGATTGTGTCTGTATCCCGACATGTCCTGAAGAGGCTGACCCTAGAAGAAAGGTACATAACACTTGAAATAAGCATACTGCAAATATACCATACTCTCAGTTTGTTCACTGTCAATATTTAACCGTGTTAGTACAGTCTCTCACTGCATTCGTCTTGCTTTTAATGTTATTATATGGATAATTTCTGTGTATATGTTATATATTATAAATCATTATAGGGAGGAATAACTGATCCTTGCATGCTACCTCTCCCGTGCTTTTTTTCCTACCTTTGTTGTTGTGAACAGAAATATTAGCAACTGGTCAGATTATTTCTGCCTTGGTAAGTGCAGACAGCTGTTTGGTACGATTCTAACATTGAAGTAACATTGAAAGGGCTAAGGTGAATCTGTTGTCATGACATACTTTTAACAAGAAATAATACACTAATTTATTGATCCTTAAGTTACTTAACCCTTGTTGGTTGTGCACCACAGCAGCGCCTCGATGAACGGTTTGCCAAAGTTAAAGTCGAGCCATCAGCCTTATAGTACAGGAATGTAAATCCTCTATTTCTATAGGATAAATATTACCCATTTGTCTTTCTTAAACTCATTAAGGACAAACAATAACTAATTTCTTGGCACAGAATTATGTACTGTACACAAAATGGTTTTGTTAGTGGAACTGAAAGTTTCATTAGCCCATCAATAGACTGTTTCAATTCTATTAAACCCACTTCACTTACACAAAACCTATTTATTTAAGATGAATTTGATATCTAAGCTCTGATCTTGTAAATGTTTTTTGTCCATTTGGTTTCTGACTACAGTTTTGAAAACATTTATATTTATCTTTGTGTTTTGTGTTAAACCCTTATTAATATCCTTGATTTAACCACCTTAAAAATAGTAAATCTTGCCTGAATTTTCAACTTGATGAATAATTCCTTAAGCTTTTGCTACCCATGATAAACCATCATCAGCTAATGGTATTGACCATAAAACCTATGTAATTAATCTTATCCATGTTTCAGAGTTTGAAAAATAACTTTCTTCCATCAGTCTTCCTATTTTTGTTATTTTAATTTATGGTTCATTCATTTGCATCAGAGTTTTATCCACACCATCTCTGTTCACTGGTCTCAATTTCTCAACTTTTAATAGACCTAACAGATAAATGACTGAAACTTTGCATTTTCCTGCTTCTCATTTTTAGACTGTCTGTCTAGGTTCATTGGTATTGCAAGGTCACAGTGCCAGTTCCAGTGTCTGACAGCCAAATTGAAATGAATGAGTTTTCAACTGCAATTAATTTTGTCTGATTATATAAACACTGGTTTTTGTTGTGCAATAAGCAATTTCCTGGTACAAGACTCGAAGCTTTCACAGTGACTGAAATTGATAAAATGTTCTCAGACAACAAAACTGTGTCCGTTATGGTAAAAAGTCGAATTTTTCAGAGACCATCTCTGCACTTATAATCAGGGGAATCATTCCCATAGAAGATTTTATTCGATATCCTTGTACTTCACCATGATTAATTTCACTTTTGTTTAAGATGATTTAGTAATTTTACTTTTTCATTTCACTGATTTTAATGTTCCCAAACCAGATATTATCATAGTTTTTTCCTGGAATGTGATGGCATGTGTATGTAGGTACCAACTTTACCCCTAAAAATGGTACCTACCATCAGAATCAAGCGTTTGCCTGTGTTTTGAATCTATGTTTTAAAATGCATATGCAGGTATGCTCAAATCACAACGAGACATGGGGTTCAGATTGCGAAGTGTACCAGATGCGATGCTGGTGTGACAGAGAGTTAGATGGATGCAGAGGAGAAAAATACAAACATGTCCACATTGAGTACTATGGAGTCTGCCGTGATATGCCCGTAAGTACGAACATTTGACGTCGGATGCAAAAAGTATCAGTGATGGAGTTCCTGAAAATATTAATTTGAAAGAACTGTGACATGATTTAGGTTGCGCTTGAATTTGAATGAGTAACGAAAAGTGAACTAGACTAATGTATCTATATTTGAAAAAAGTTTATATTTTTCAGTGTGAAATAATTTTTCATAATTTTTATTGAATAAAAAGTTGACAGTGGAACCACGGTTCCAGAGAATCTGACGTAAATACGTCTCTGTAATGAAATGTAATGTAATAATTCTTATATAAGATAAGTACTTGTGATATTCTAAAACGTTTTTACCAGCACAAAATGATCTAATTTACGACGCACTTCTTCTACAAGCGATTCAGAGATCAGCTCTTTCCGTAATAAGGAAAGTGGATTGTTGACGGCAGTAATGTAACACAAAAATGCCGAGTAAACAGATGACGTAACAATTAATTTATTAGGTAACATAACCATTGTTGTCGGTCCATATTTAGACACTGTTGATATTGATCTTACACATCTTCGTTACGCTTTTTTGCTGAATGGCCCTTCCGTATAGACGTATTTACGTCAAAATCATAAGCTTCGTAATTAAACTTTTCACCAAATGTTATTATGACGATTAAGTCAGTGAGGATGAGATGCATGGGGAATGTAGCATGCATGAGAATATGATAAATGCATACAAAATTATAACCTTAAGGGAAGAGACCACTTGATAGAGCTGGGCATCAAAGGGGAGATAATATTGAATTTGTTGTTGGAGATGCAGAATATGAAGGTGTAATTTGAAAATGAAGCACATATCTGTATGATATTTAAATATTGAGCCCTAACCTCAAATAAAATGCATCATTTCTCAATTACAAAGGTCGGTTAGTTAATGTTGTTTAAGGAAATAATTGTTTATCATGAGAATCTTACTAAACCTACAAACACATGCTGTCAGTGAAACACAGAAGTATTGAATGTTGAAACAGGTGGTACATATTGTTACCACAGTGCTTTAAAGGGTTAAACTGACTTTAGATATACAGTGAAACCTCGATGCATCGTTTTCGGCGGGGGTGGGAAATAAAAACGATGAATGCGGGAAAACGATAGATGCGGGAAAACATTAAAAATTTTAAAAAAAACAATGTTTCTCTTTCAAAGTTACTTCTTTTTACCAAAAAAGTCTTTAATGGACAACTGGTTTGTCGAAACTTTACGTTTTAGACCAAACAGAGCACTTTCCACGTTCAAAATATTTTCCTCGTCACGTTCACTAATATTAAGCGCATAAAAGAACGACTTCACTTTCGCCAATGCAGCGTGTGCTTCGGCAAAACTCGGGTGAAGAAATTCACACTGCACATGCCATCTGGCATCGCTGGAACGAAATATGAGTGCACCCTAATTAAAATCGTAAAATTTCTGACAATGGGCACCGCCATTCACTCCAACTATCACCCCTGCACCGCTGACCCTCATTCCAAAAGAATGTGCTGGTTGGGCGACATAACAGGTTACCGCTACTGTTTATTCCAAAAACATTGTGCGTCTTTCGGTATTAATTTATCTCTAAACCCAGCATTTTAAATTCTCAGGAACGATCATTGCGGGAAAATTGTGGGCCGGGACTACGATTTTTGAACGATCGATGCGATAAAACGATAGTTCGAGGAACGATAGAAGCGGGAAAATGTAACATTATTTTATATGGGATGTATTCGGGACCGAACAAAACGGACGATGCATCCGGGAAAACGATAGTTCCGGGAACGATGGATAGAGGTTTCACTGTAGTCTAGTGGTTAGGGAATTTGTTGACTAGCTGAGTGACTATCAACTGTTCAGAAGCAAACTTACACTTGTTGTTTGTTGGTTGGTTAGATAGTCAAAAAGTTCACTAGTAATCAGTGAATTAGAATTTATACAATTTTTTGTGACTGTGTTTTTCATGATTTTCACTTGTCACTATGTCAGCTATGGTAGGTGCTGGTGTAAAGGAACACTTCCTTTGGTTCTTAATTGTTTCCTGTCCAGTTTTCGTGACTGAACTTAACAAGATTTCACCGCTTCTTCTTTTAGTTAAGACTGAAGCAGTCTATCTTATACTGACAAAGCTAGCCAAGTCCACATTTCTTCAGCAGTGTGTCCGTTAACTGGAAATGTTGTGGGTTTTAATAGGAGTGTTCCACGGAGCAAATGGCAGATTTCCCACGCAGAATGCGAGACTGGTTGTTCAACATCATGCGCGACCTTGCTGATCGCCAGGAACTGACACCTTACTACCTGAAGATGGAACGCGAAGCTGAGACCAACTTGACGAGGCGCTGGAGCAATGCTGCTGTCTGGAAGTGGTGTGATTTGGATGGACATCCTCATGACAAGTAAAATACTAGATCAGTAAATCTGGAGTATAACTTAGCATTTCTTAACTCTTCTTTCTGTTTTATTTGCATGACTCTTGGTTTATTTAATAGTGTGTACTGGCTGATCTTATGTTAGTCCTACTATTGAAAACAGGTTTTCTTGTTACTCAGTACTTTTCTTTACCAAAACTAATTATTAGTGAGATATTTGTTACTTCTCCTTGATCAGTGTTTGTTTGTTTGTTGTGATTTGCATGATTTCTGCCATGTGATTGTCAATAAAGTGTCTTCCAGTTCTTAATTTGATGCTCCTAAATAAGGTAAAATGAGTAAAATGTTCATAAGATAGTAACTGACGTTAACAAAGCAGGATATCGGTTAAGTATTTTTGATTATACAGAGTTACACAGTGTTACAGGAACATAAAATATATTTTTCTCCAGACTTATAACATTGTATTATGTTTATCCTCTAGTTCAGTGTCACGTCATGAACTTTTCCCAATCAGAGCACCACTGATGGCACTAGAACATTGCATTGCACCGTTTCTTGATTCTTGTGATGTAGATGATGATCATCGTATTACCCTCAAGGAGTGGGGAAAATGTCTGGAAATTGAAGAGGTATGGTTTCTTTTGTAGTTTCATTTTAATTGTAATCAGTAAGAAAGCCCACCAATTGGTTACGCTACTTCAAGTATGGTTGCTACCTTAAGAATGGATTCGGCTTTATTGGTCTGTATAGTTAATGTATAATTGGAGTCATGATTAGTTGCTCTGTGATGCCTCCAGAGATTGTCTGCGAGACCTTTTCTGGCCTGTACAGGTCATAGGAAGCTTAGAATCCAGAATCAATTCCTAAAGTGGAGTCTGATCTCGTTAGCACCCGTGATAAGTTGATTTTTAAAATTGTGGTTTCCAGGTCTATTTTAGGTTAGCATCTAATAGCAGGTCAAAAATGAACTTGCAAGTTCTGAAACAATGGGACATATTTAGAACAGCTGAATATCAATATACTGCTTAGATAAAGGTTGTCCCTGGTGCATTGCGCTGCAGTGTGTAGATATATGAGGGCTTGGAGGTTTAGCTCAACACATTCTTAACCTTGACAGTGGATAGAGGTGAATGGTTAACCTTTGCAATGGCTGCTTTACCCCATGAGGAAGGCATAGAGAAGAAAATATACCAGGAAGCTGATTAATCAGTCGGCCACTGATTGTGTAAGATAATTGTTTCAAATCAGACAGGCCACTTGGTTGGAGATTGAGATCTCATTATGTACAAGTAGATTGATAGTTTTGTCATAAGTTTGCGTATTGATTATGACTTGTACAATTTTCTTGCTTTCTGTAGGATGACCTAGAGGAGAAATGTGATGAACTAAGGAACGATTAATTCAAAAATCGTTTTCATAACTTACTAGTTTCTGCAAGGAGTCCTGCAGTTTCCAACAAAACTCCCCGAAAACAATGGAGATTTCTAAGTTTGCAGATGGGGGGGTTTCTGCAAAATGTATCAGTACTGTTTAGTACTAATGTGAAATCAGTAATGTGGTGCTAATACTACAATGTGAAACCTTGGTGTGGTGTATCCCTGTGAAAGAGAAAAGAGGGAAATCATGTCCTGGCAAATAATATTATGGAGGAAATAAAACATTTCTTTAATTGTTGAAATAGACACTGAATATTGGCAATTCTTTGATATGTAATTTCTTGCACAACTTTGTAACCCTTGTAATTGTAGGTTTGTATTGATCTTTACATGCAGAGTTATGTAACACCGCGCTTTACTGCATATTGTAAGATAGAGGAACACCATATCAAGGATTTACTGTCTAGTTTTTTTTTACAGTGTGTTCACAAAAACTCTTATGCATAGGGAAGAAGACAGGAATGTGTGTCTCTTTACTTACCAAACTACAAAAACAACACTTGCAATGTTAAAAGATTTTATTGAATTGAACATTATGTTTAATTTTTTATATAATGGGCTGCCTGATAATTTTAATTGAATGACTTTTTGTATTTCTGTACACATGTTAGATGTCTAAGAACTAACTAGATTTATTATTTACTTACATTTACAATATATAATTTTTAATTTACATGAACTTGATTTTCTTTTCACTTTCTTAATATTCCCTATGTCTAAGTGTTTCGTTATACAAGGTATATACATATCCTACAGTTGATATAGCTTTGTACAGAAGGAAGGAAACTACTTAATTTAGAATTATATAACTTTTACATTTTATTTTAGTTAAAATGTCATATTTGTCAAATAATATATTTAATTATTAGGAAAGTTAAGTTTTGTTAGAAGTTCAGAGTAAAGAAATTAAAGAATGGTTTAAGGTGCCAAAAATAATTAAAATGTAATCGTTGCAAGAACAATAAGCTTGGGTTCCTGAATGTAGGAAGATGTATTCTCACTTTAATTATTAAAATGTGTTTAGCATTTATTGGTGAAACTGGTGATGCGACATCTCTGTCTAGCGATGAAATGAAAAATGGATCTTGGAAAACATGAATATTCTGTCACAAACACCTTATTGATCAAGCAGAGAAATATGCTTTCTTTCTTAACCTATTTCTGACAAAAAACAAAGGTTTCCTCAGCTGAAATTAGAATATAATTTTCTTTTCTAGATTTTATGGGTGTAACATTTTATAATGCTTGCTTAACAAGTTTTATAAACATTTTGGTTGTCAATAAAAAATATACTGCAACTTCATTATCCTTGTTGTAACAACTTTTGACACTGTTAATCTTCTTATCTAGGAATGAAGTGATATGGAAGATATAACTTCTTCCCCCTTTCATTTGTGTTTTTTTTTATAATTTTTTGTGTTTTCCACTTTGCTTGGTGTTTACATAAGTTTATTATATCTTATACATTGTAATTGTATCACAACTAAGATTTCAACACTGCCATATTAATATCTGATTTAATTTGTGTTTTTTAATTCCTGAACAATTTTGGACTTGTATTTTTAAATAAAGTTTTAAACATTGTTCTGTAATTAATAAGCTTATTACCCTAATTTTCTTAAAATATGTCATGTCACTCCTATTGCTCCAAGTACAAAACATGGTTCCAATTTTCATAAATAAGATGACATGAATCCTACTTCCTGAAGCATTATTATCCTGTCTTCTAGAAGTTTGAACACAGCTCCCATTTTCTGAAATATGACCTGCTATGAAGTAGTCAAATACATGTTATAGAGCAGCAGGATTATCACTTATCAATCTCATGCCTATTATTTAATAAAATGTACTGAAACATGCACCATTGTTCTGATTTTTCTTTTAGTGGATTCAAAATATTTAAAATTTGTTTAGAACTATGTTTATTGATGCAGCTCTGCCTGCATATGAGATCTGGTAGGTTATGCCTAGGTGTGTTTGTGTTTAGTGCTTCATGCACTAATCAACAGGTATGTATAAAGGGAGATGGCATTTTACAGATTACTTTTGACATAAATACGTAAGGGTCATTCGGCAAAAAATCGTAATGAAGATGTGTAATGTGAATATGGACTGACAACAATGGTTATGTTACCTAGAAACTAATTGTTACGTCATCTGTTTACTCGACATTGTTGTGTTACATTACTGCCGTCAACAACAACGGTCAGCTTTTATATGAACTGCGTGCATTGTCATGTTACCTAAGAAACTAATTGTTACGTACATACATACATACATACATCTTTATTACATTCCATGGATCCATAAGTTAGTCAGATGACAATAGGATGTAGAATAAGTCATAATAATACAATACATGTTATACAAATACAAGTCATACTATTATATAAATGTCACAAAAATACAAACAAAGGGTTCACATGAAGTAGAGATAAGTTACAAATAAATCCACCCATTATATACAATAGATAAATTACGACTTACTTGTAAACATTAGAAATTCATCACCCCTACATCGTTAAACAGGCTTGCATCATCCCTATAACGCTGGTGGCATGGCTGGTTTTCAGGTTCCTAAATCTCGAAATTGTTGCCTGTGACTGGAATTATTCGCTCAACATCTCACATGCTGACTATAGGATGAATAAAATAGCCAAATAATAATAACAACAACAACAAACCTAGTAAACCACTGCCAATTATTACTAACAACTATAGAGAGGACACATTTAAAATTATAAAATTTACAACAAACCGTCTTGGAAAACAACCTGCAGAATTTGTTTGGAACAGAGAAAATAAAAATCATAACAGGTAAGACGTAATCCTAATTCGAACTCTACGGAGCAGCTAATAATCTTTTAGACAGTCAAATTCCCCGCATTTTATGGAAACCTAAGGCTCATTACCGTATTCACAAGAGTTGACTACTGGACACTATTCAGTACCAAATGGTGCAGTCCTCTCTCACATCATACTTCTTTAAGATTCGTGTTACTATTACTCTCCCATCATGCCTGGGGTTCCCAAATGGTCCTACCATCTGAATACCCTAATATTATTTAGTGAAGAGTGTAAATTATGAAGCTCTTGGTTATACAACACCCATTCGTTATGCCTTAATACATTACACACTGGAATATTCATTAAGCTGAAATAAGAAGAATTCCATTTCTCAGATCTCACGAAACGAGGCCACGCATATGAATATATGACTTTCTAGCAAACAACAACAACAAAAGTCAGGAATTACAAAATTTTCAGGATGACAAAATAACTTTTAAGTGATCTGAAATTGTACAGCATTGAACAAAAGAGCTACATACTTCCAGAAAGTGATAATTTAGATTAAACCATTTAAGGACAGTACAGTGCAGTTCTCTCTAATTAAGCATCATAATCAATGTATGTGGATATAAGCCTGATGCTTTGTAGTTTCTGTATGCATTACCACAAAATATGTATATATTTTAGAAGCTTTCTGCATATTTGTTACTACATGAAAGTTATCCATATTCAAAATTGGGCATGCCACTATAATTTTTTTTTAGGATACTAATGTATGACGTAATATGTTTCATGTACGGCGTTTCCCATTTCATAGCTTAGTTTCCCTCCCGCCATCTTTACTTCCATCCCTGGTAAAGGGTGAGAAGCAAGGAGAGAGGTAACACGTAACCCTACTTTTGATCGATAGATGGCGTGCTTCCGCGCCGTGTATTTAAATTCTTAATTTTCCTATTGGTTTGGGAGAACCACGTGACTCCTTTCATACGTACGCCACAAGTCTTGTTTGGCGGGTACAGCATAGCGTGTCTTGGAAGTTGCCACAGAAAGACGTTACAGAATGGTGAGTATCGAGAAGTTTATATGGTAAATATTAGGCATCGGTTCAAGATTTTAGCACACCCGTTTTCTGCATGTTCTGAACTATACTCTAGCGAAGTTTTGAGTCGCTAGCTGGAAAATTAACCACATATTTTGGCTTTTTTAGGCTGGTGGAAAAGCAGGAAAGGACTCGGGGAAGGCAAAGGCTAAAGCTGTGTCGCGCTCGGCGAGAGCCGGGTTACAGGTAAGATATGATTGTAACAGAAGTGAATGAAGTGTATTCTAATTTCCTTTTAAGTTGTGTACCGCTCTTTTGTACGGGAACATATATAATTCATTTATTATGTTTGTTAACAGTGTGTTTATAGTGAAATAGTGAGTAGTGGCAGTGTCATGTTTTGAGGCACTTGAGAAGTCATTCACTCACGTTTGCATTTGTTTTTCCAGTTTCCTGTTGGACGAATACATAGACATTTAAAGAATAGAACAACAAGCCATGGACGTGTGGGAGCAACGGCAGCCGTGTACAGTGCGGCAATTCTGGAATATTTAACAGCTGAGGTAAGTTGGTGCAATCAAGATGGCTACTGCTGTTTATGTGTTTAACTTGAACAAAACAAATACTTTGTGTACGATTGGAAGTTACGTTTGGTATTCGACATGAGTGATGTTAGTATTAAAGTTAACAATATAGGTTTAAGCAAAGCATGCCTTACATGTGACATGACATTAGATGTACATTAATTGGCATGTGAAAATCATGTTGGGCCCTTTGTAGTTTAATTTTGGCGGGATTTTTTTTTCCAACGGTGGTATTGTCAGAATAAACAGCTTGACAGATATATGAAATTATTTTAAATTTATCCTAATTATGGATTTATAGGTTCTTGAGTTAGCTGGTAATGCGTCAAAGGATTTAAAAGTGAAGCGTATTACTCCCCGCCATCTCCAGTTGGCCATCAGAGGTGATGAAGAATTGGACAGTCTGATAAAGGCAACTATTGCTGGAGGAGGTATGTTAAGAATTTCTTTCTTTAATATGCAGTGCATGTTTTGTAATTAGGAATGGACAATATGAAAGATGAGTGCATCACATTCAGTCATTATGTTCAGTGTCAGTTAGTTCGCAGGCTTCAATAACACACTTCAGATCTGAGCATTAATACTGAACATTTGTGTCACTTGTCCAACCATATCTGATGCTTTACTGTTCTTAGCTGTGACTTTGACAAGGTGGTTGGTTGTGTAACTGCTATGTGTGCTATAAATATGGTGGATACACTACACGCAGGTCATGTGGGGGATGTGACATTCTGTGATGTGTGATGCTATTAATAGCTAGGGTAGAGAAATTTGTTCATTGTACCTGTTGTGATATGGGCTTAATCAGTAAAGCTTTGGCTGTGATTCCTCCAGTTGCATGATCGTGCATGGATAAAGATGTCCATGCAGATCTACTTTTGACAGCTAAACACCTTTTGGGGAAGGACTGCTTAATATCTTGACACTCATAAAACCTACTGTAATGACAGCTAATGTAACCAGCTGTCTGCAGCAGCTTGGGGTAATAGGACTCTTGGCTAATTTGTGAGCTCTATATGACATCACCAGGTTTTTATACTTGGTGTTTTAATGTTGTTGCTCTCTGAGGTTGAGACAAACTTGACCAAGGGCACAGTAGCGAAAGGTTTCATCCTTCCACCACTTACCTGGAGATGAAAGTAGAACCAACTTCCAAAATCTTGTTTCATTTAAAACACTTAAGACAATGGATAAAGTTCAGCTGAATAAAAGATGCGGAATGTCCGGTGACTTAGAACTGTGATTGCCTGGTTAGGTTAGGGTTATGTTTTGTAATTTATAAATATACTTTGCTATGAATTCTTGTTGATAGAAGCCTGGTAGTGCCTTGTTAAGTATCTGATCTAACAGACACAGTGTTAAGTTTATTGCCTGGACCTTTGATGCTTTGTGGTGAAAACAAAAAAAAACAGCCTGTTACAAACTTTCAGTTTGCTTGTATAATAGAAGTGACAAGCATATTTAAGGTATATGGTTATAAAATAATCTTTGTTCTTATTGCAGGTGTCATTCCACATATCCATAAGTCACTGATTGGGAAGAAAGGTTCACAGAAACCAGCATAATTGTGGTTCCATAAATAAGTGCAGTTCTATTTTTGTGAAGACAAAGACCATGATTAGTGGCTGTCTCTTAGCCCAAGGAAGACTAAAAGAGTGTGTTATAACTCTGCAATGTGTTTTTCTTGTGAGGCAGGTTTTTTCTATCTCTTTTTGTATGCAATGTGTCGGGGATCAGAGTGAAGTATGGATTGCCAGGTATGCTATTGGCGGCACATTTTGAGTCACCTTGAGTCTCACAATTTCACCTTTGAGTCTCACAGTTTTACAAACTTCACTCTGGATTTCATAAGTGATGCTGTCAAAACCAAACAAGTAGCTAGTAAAAAATGGAAATGACCAACCATTGAATCAGCAAGACTTCATGTCAAACATGAAATATTATGTTGCTGTTTGCTTGAAAGGTGACTCATGAAACTACAATAATTTTTTACTAGTTATTTGTTTGGTTTTGACAGCATCACTTATGAAATCCAGAGTGAAGTTTCTGAAATTGTGAGACCCCAGAGAGTTTTTAAAATTGAATAGTGTTACCTAATGAAAAGAGAATGTCATATTTTAGTGTGATATTCACACATATTGTTCCCCCTAATTAATACACTTAACAAATTTTTCTCATTTATTCATTAGATTGTAGTTTCATTCATTACATGAGTTGACATTGTTGTTAAAATTGTCAAGTACTACATCTGTAGGAAATATATTCATTTCACAGTCATGTCATTGTTATTGGATTATATGTTTGTGTAGTGAAACATGTGGTAGTACAGAGGAGCAGTTTTTTTTTCAACCTACTGTTACATCATCTCTTTAAGGTTCAAATATTGTTCTCAGCACCCCATTCCCAAGTGTGCTGGATGTGTTGTCCCCATGATGTGAGAGTGGCAAAATTATGGTTCTATTTCAATCTCTATGTCTTTCAAATATCACAGGAAAACAAGCTGCAAGCATTTCACAAATTTAATTCTCTTTAATTCCTTGGTGACCTGTTGATGTCCCTAAATACTTGAACTATGCCATGTTTTGAAAGGATTCATTAGCTAAGGCCCTGTGTGACATGCTAGTATTTTAAATTGAGCAGTTGTCGGCCATTTGTCCAAGCCCCCCTTCAGAGGACCGGCCTGTGTTGACTGCCTGCGTCGTGGAACATTACTGTTTCTTTCAGATCTAACAGTTTTATTAAAACTTGTTGCACTGAACAAGATGAATGCCAACCATTTCCCTCAAATTTGTGTTTCACTTTGGTTTTAATGTATATAACAAAAATTTGGTAACACTACTAAAAGTGCTTGCATTATACATAGTGAAACTAAAGCCACTTAAATGAAACAAATCAGAATATTTCTGTGCTTGCATAAGAAAAGATTAATTCGTGTTTCAGTACTTTGAAGGTAAGGAGACTTACTAAAGGAGAAGTAAATGTGTGAAATCTAATTTGAAAATGTAGCTTTTCTTTACATACTTTTGAAAATGTAAGCATATAAATGACATTGATATTTTGCCAAATAAATCAAGATGGATAGGATCGCCAGGGAAGCAACAGAAACAGAGCTCCATCTGAATGTTCAGAGGATGAGCTCTGAGCAGGTTATCTTAGTCTCTCATTCTTATCCCGAAGGAATGGATGAAGGTCATCTTTGTTCTGGATTCAACCTTTCTGTCAGGGATCCTTGAAAATGTTCCTGGCACTGAAATACCATGTGGAATAGCAGGTAGGTAAACCTACTGCACCTGTCTTTGCCCTTAACATTGAGGTAGTATGTTTATTTGAACTGTTGGAATGTATAACCTCGCAGGGTGTTTACAATCCAGATCAAAATTGACATGGTTTCAAGCCCCTTTCCTGGTGTTTGGTCATTTTGGCGTACAGAAAGAGAGTGGGTCTCTTAATAAGAAACTACTGAATCATAGTGTTGTGTGACATGCAACAGAAATTTACCATTTCTCTCTATTTACTTTTCATAATAGCTGATGTGGGTGTCTGTTCTTGGATAGAATATTAATTACAATTACAACTGTGGATTAAAATAAGGTTAGAAAATTTGGGAACACAGGAGGTAAGGGGAATGGGAAATCATTTCTAAAAGTATGTAACTAACTTTGGGTACACAGCCCCTTGCTGAGTTAGATACTGGATTGAATTGTAGGCAAGTGTATTTTGAGGTTAGGAACTTGGTGTTGAACCTTGGAGACCACCACTGTAATATTTTTAGAGCCTTGAAATGACTTGCATTTAAGGTAGCTGAATCTTAATCAAATTTGGTTATTAGCATTTCTGTATAATGTAGGAACTGCATTACTTTAAAAAAATATGGTCCAATACTTTTGTTTAACATTCTTTTGTTGTATACAATTACTTTCTGCCCAACCAATTTGTTATAATTTCTCATCACACATTCTTTACGTCTGTTAATTTGCGGGTGGAGGGGAGAGGCCTATTTCCGTCGTCCGAAATGTTTAATTTCAAATCATCATACTTCAAAAAAGGGTAGGCAATAGTATTTTCTTTCAGACGAAATAAAAAATAAATGCCCTCTTTTCCGTTTACGTGGTTTTTTTACTCGTTGAAATTTCGTAACCTCGAACATTACGCACTTCCTCTGTATAAGACAACGTACAGACACTTTTCTGAAAGAACTATAGCAGGGAACACGGGATCAATTGAGCAAATTTCTCGTAGTTTGTCCAATATAAGACATATAAGTGGCCCATACCGCACGCCACATACCACACACCATCAGCATTCCCTTAGTCTTTGTATCGTGCCATACACCACAGGAGTGTTATTGTCTATTAATTTTATTAGACTTAAAATGGCGTCATCGTCAGTAGCGTCATCTCTTGGTCTATTTTGCAGTCTCTCACCTCTTGTAGTTCGACCCTGGGAGCGCATGTGTAGGAAGCAGTCGGAGTGTCAGCGGTGAAATGGAACTAAGTATTCCGCCTCGAAAGTCGAAGTCGTAAGGTTGAGCAGTTGAAGTTCTTGTAATAAACTTGCGCAGACGACTTAGCCGTTTATTTCACGATTGTTTTTTGTGTTGGTTCTGTAGTGTGTTTGGTATTTATATGTTTTATGAGTATCTTTTGGTGTGATTAAATTTGATGTTGTGTTGTTGTACTTGTTTTCGTGGTGTGTCTAATGCAGCCGGTTAAAAACACCTGTTTCGATGTTTTTGCCATCGTTTTAGTGTATTTGATATATTCTTTTGATTCATTAGTGAATGTTCATTTAACGATGCTTTCTGGAAGACTGTAACTGCCGAGACCTGAGTTGTCTGACACGAAAGGTCATCTGTCATAGCTGATCATCGGCTTCTTACAATGATTGGCGATCACAATAACAGGTATAGTGTTTTTCCGTTACCTGTCAGTACATTTTGCATTATTTTTATCGCCATCTTTCTTTTGGTTTTGTTTTATAATGCATGTTGTATGTATTAACGTATTCCACGTGACGTTATGGTACCGCATGTAGATGAATGCTAATTGAGCTATAGCTTTCACTTATAATTTCTCTTGCATTTGTTCAGATAATACAGTACAATATTTGACGTGTTGACTCTTTCACGGATCTGAGATCATAGAAAGGCGCGGTTGGTTCACCATGAAGCATGTACGTAGTAGACTCAAGGAATTTTCACCCTCAGGCGGCGTGCTTAGCGGTTCGGTCTGACTATTACCTATCCCAAATATATTCGCCGTTTGAAATTCTTTAAGAGCATTTGCTGTAAACGGGCGTTTAAACAAAGTTTTGAGGCGTTCTTCCAACACAAGCCGACACTCTGGGTTATAGATTAAGGTTTATGTAGTATCTGTCAGATATTAACATGTGTATCGTTTCAACTATGCAGTCAAGGTCACTCAGAAATTGAACATTGCGAAGTGCTTTTGACTTCTTGTAATCCTTGCTGTATGAAGGCAGCGAGTGAGAGAAATAGATAAGACTAATTATTATTTTGAGGTCAAATGATCAATAATTCTACAGTATGGACTTTCAATCTAGAAATTATTAGATGCAGTAATATTAGATATAATTGGGTTGACAGGCTGTGTTTAGCAGTGTAATGTTTTTTGTAGCGTGAATAATAAGTCACGTGACTGCATTCTCTTTCTGGATGAGCTGCATAGCGGTTCCTTCAAAACCAGTCTGGGCAGGCGTTCACCTATTGAAAACGAAACATTGTACAGTCTGAGCTAAAACATGTGCTGCAGTTGATTTAAGAATTGTCAAGACTGCCATAAAGAACGCAGGAACAAGAATATTTTTGTACTTGAAAGGGATATCTTTATAATGTGGTTATCATTTGTCTTGTTTACCTTAATATGGTTTTGTGTTGTGGCTGGTAGTAGAATGTAAATCCTGACTAGGTTGGTGTAGTCGGTTTGTAGAACACTGCTTATTCACTGTCAGAGAAAATCCACACAGTCGAAAAATTTGGATATTTTGTCCCACTTGAGTGTTTAACTTGAACACAATTTTTCAATGGAATATTGTAATTCATTCAGCTAGGGCCGGAATTCGACCTTTTCTGTCCCTAAACTATGTCAAGTTTAAGAGGCTCCAGAAATTCTAAAATTAAAATATACGTCTATTATTCTGACTGAAGGGAATGTTAATTGATAATCACGAAACTAATGTGAATGAAAACGTTGTGATATCATTCATTTACAAAGCTTCACATTAATATTTATAACGTATTTTCTGAGGCCCCTCATATTACGAGGCCCTAAGCTATAGCTTAGCTTTTCGCAAGTCCGCCACTGCATTCAGGCCACACATCAAAAGAGTCTGTAATAGAAAAATACTTGTTCAAAGAAATGACTCATCGTACAAAAAATAGATTCGGTTTTGATAAATTTATTTAATTTATAACATTATTTTATGCGTTTCGTTCACGAAATACTACTTGGAAAAGAATTTGATTACTCACGAGTCAATTCTGTATGCTTCCTAATAATTTCTGCAGTTCCAACATCAGATTCAATGCTGAATGCAAAGATTCTGGGAGGAAAATAAAGATATTCAGTTTTCAGGGATTTATAATGATAGACTTCATTCCTTTTAGGAGGTGGACGAGACTTGTAGCACACATGGGAACATGAAAAATACATTTTAGTGATCACTTTGGAGGTTTAGTCGTGGGGTTAATGCAACGCATGGCCTGGTGGAAGTAATGGAATTGATGGGTTTGCCTCACTATAGTTGGATTACAAGTCGGGATGTCTTAGTCAGAGAAATTACTCGACGGGCTGGACGACCAGAGTTAGGATTCCGACAGGAGCAGGTGTCTGAATGGCATTGCGCTTGCAATGACAGAGATAACTGTACCTTTTTCTTGTTAGAGTTCATCGCTTGATATGCTCATAAAAACAATGTAAAACAGTGCGGAAGTCTGCAGTAACAATGACGTTCTTGAGGTCAAGTACAAATGTATACATAATGTTCTTTTTCTCAAGAACAGCAGAAAAACTTTGGTCCAGACGGAAAGATTCTGTGTGTTGGATTCATTCATCATCGTGGTCTATATCCTCCGGCTCACCGCTCTAGAGCGACCGGCGACACCAGAATATGAACTTGTCTCTTCCCGCGAGTTGAATGCTTCTGCTTTAAAATGTCTTATGAGCTGTGTTAACTAAATGACGTAAGAGGAAAAAGTCGTGAAGTATACATTGAGGTGCTTCGATCTGGTGGCCAAAGTGGGAACTATTGAAGAAGGCAGATAGAATACGTCTAAATGCGTTTCTAAGAACGCGTGTTTACTACAGAACACACTTTCCGAGCTTATATTTATATTTTAATTAGTGGACTAACAGTAAATGTTATATAGGGCAGTGGTATTCAACCGGGGGTACGCGAAGACATCTTAGGGGGTACGTGAAATTAAAAAAAATATATTATTTTATGATAAACACTGAATAATCAGTAATATAATTTATTTAATTTATTTTAGATGTAGATTATATAATATGTATAACTTGAATTATACACCAACAACTTTGGGGGTACAAAGTTGGAAGAGAAATTATATCTGGGAGTTTATTATTATTTAGTGTTCTGTCTGAGGACAGGTCCATATGAACAGGATCCTTCCATCCTTTTCTCGGACCTGTTCATATACGTTCTTGGCAGATGATCCAGAAGTGGTTTGCCATTGCCTTCTTCTGTGTGTGTGAATGGAGTAATTGTTGGGATGCCACGGAGAAACCGGGGAAGCCCCCGGAGGAAAACTCCGTGTTGCCTAGACCACGGCCTTGCCCAACACAAGTTATAAATTCGGCCACCGCCGGGAATCGAACCCGAGACCCCAGGATTACAAGGCCAGCGTTCTAACCGCTAGACCACCCCATCTTATTATTTATTTAGTGTTCTGTCTGACGACAGGTCCATATGAACAGGATCCCAACACAAGTTATAAATTCGGGCACCGCCGGGAATCGAACCCGAGACCCCAGGATTACAAGGCCAGCGTTCTAACCGCTAGACCAGCGAACAAAAAAAGGTTGAATACCACTGATATAGGGCACAACTAAATTTCTGGAATTTCTTGGAGTTTCTCATACCTTGAGAATCTGTGGTACTTGTGGTCTAGGACGTTCATGAAGGCAGCTTTGTGAGTGGTGGTTTTACTCGCTGGTAATTTTCTTACTTTGTGTTGAACAGCGCCGTCAGGTGACTGGTCTGCGTAATGGTTAAGAAGTTTTTTTTTCACAGCATTACGCCCTCCGTGGCTTTACGGAATATTGGTCAATCCATTCATGTGTGTCAAGACAATGAAATGGAAAGTGTGTAAGTTTCTTTATCGACTGTCTACCAAGTTCAAACATACACAAGTGGGTTTTATTTATTTTATTTTTTCACGCGGAATACTTTAAGTAAACGCGACACCGTGTTTAATCTCCGTTACTTATTAGCGTGAAAGAAGTGAAGATGGAAAGTAGGACACTTTGCAGAAACTAACGTTTGTATTGAACTGTAACAAGCAGAGAACCGGATGTACTTGTCTGTGAAGGTCGGGTGCTTCGTTATATTCTTGTGGATTCAAAACCGTTGTATGTTTTTTTAATACCGTCCAAACAGGAAACGTGTGATGTAGAATGCCTGCTATGGTCTGTGGCTTATTCTTTCTTCAGATGTTTTTACTTCCGGAATACATAGGAGGCAGAAGAAGGCAGGACATTGACCTTTTCTAGGTGCCCTGTAACATGCAGCGAATTTTAAACAGTGTGCCATATGATTAGCATTCTAATAACGCTGTTCTGTTAACGGTCGGAGGGGTGTTTGTGAGGGTGGTTGTCTCTAAGAGTGGGTTGGTGACGAACGTTAAATTATTCTACAAGAGATTTTGGCCGAATTATGCCCACAATTCTTTGTAAGTGCGTCGTGTGTAGTTTGTTTTATGTCGAGTGCAAAGGCAAGGCATAAGAATGACTACCATATGTTATCAGGATACCATCTTCGTGTTAGTTATCTGAAAATTTGGTGAATGATAAGTCATCTGTCTGCAGCCTTGCAGGGCCGTAATGATTTAAAACTTGGAGACAGTCGTTGACTCGGGCGAGATTCGAACCGAATGTTTCTGAGTGCAATTAAGAGAAGTTACCGCTTGAGTTAACCTGCACTGTTTCTATTGGTTCACTGATTCATGCACGGACCAGTAGTTGAAGATGGCTTGTGGTTTGTTATGTAAAGTTTCTGCCTCTTTGCCTCCTCATCAAAGAACCATTACCATTTCGCAGCAGATAATCGGATTTACGCTCCCTTTCTCTATTGGATGTTAACAGAAGTCGATACACGGCAATAGAAAACACTTTAATGCTATTATAATATTCAAGAAGAGGGATGTAAACGTCTTGTAGCTTGTAAGAGTGTAGACAGAAGGGCCCCGTGAAGGCAAAAGGACGTCACAAACGTGAAGGCTTTTCGACAAATACTCTAAGTCAATGTATTGAGCAGGTGAGATCAGCGGTTAACCCGGAAATAACCCATATAATCTCGGTTGTAGTGGCATTTACCATCACTGAACTTCTTCGTGGGTTTATTTGGTTCCTTCGAAGCAGAGAGTAGGTGTATTTGAATCGAAGGCGATTTCCTCCTGCAACATTTATTCAGTTAACTAGTTGTAATTATTCCATTTTGGAGTTGTCATACGTCTGAAGCTGATAAAGCGTCGCAAAACATTACGCATCAAAATTGCATTCTACCCTCCCCATTTCTAATTTCCGAACTTTTGTAATGCTACAAAATTTTCACAGTTTATTATCCTGTTGGTCTACCAGGGTTCGATCCCCGCCAGGGGCAAAGCATTTTTCTTCTATCCTTTACATTCATTCACATCAGATATGT